TCTCTACCGTGAAGATGCGGTTGTCTGTCAACAGATCTTCCATCATATCCAATCTCTGTGGAAACCGCAGTGCCCAGTCGTATACATCATCCATCCAACCAAGTGGTAAATCCCATGCAACACCACCCGGGTAAACAGGTCAAAAAGAATAAATGGTTCGCTTAACAAGAAAGTAAATTTAAACAGATGATTTAATAATTCCACAAACTTCATCCAACAGAATGATTTCTGTTGCGTCAGTTTAAGATCAACTTGGCTCAACGCAGTAAAAAATATCGAATCACTTCATTTTCCTCGCAGTTCATTATATGTAACTTTAGAAATACACGTATAATCATCGAATGACCGTTTCTTTAGTAATTCAACAAAAGAACTTAACTGACTTCTTTGAGCACTTCTTCCACTCTCTTCAATCGATCAGCCTTCGTTGTATTGTAACTCATTTGGAGTTCAGCCTGAAATGATCCAAAAATATTGTGGGACGGATATACGAATCGCCATAGTAAATCGATTTTTAGATCTCATCAGAGAATTTCCTGAGTGGTAGTATACTTTGCAATAACAAAATAATAGACAATTTCATTGTTATTTCATTAAATGAAAACAAACAGTACCGAATAAATAAGTTGCTCTCGCACAGTTAAAGTCCCGATAAATAAATCATCTTGATGCACATACCGCGATATGAGATGCATATCCGTCGACGATAGCTGTTCACCGTTAACCAATATTTTTCCTGAATTTTGAGTTAAATTGAACTTAAAATTTGAGTTTAATGAAATTTTCTAGAAGTTCGCTTGAAACTTAAGAAATGGAAAAGCAGAGAAAAGCACTAAAAAATATAACGAACTGTTCAATAAATATACAACAAATGCTTCTGAAACTGTTGAAATTGAAAATTACTCCCTATCTGAATTTAAAATCAAACTTTCTGGACAATTTTTCAAGCCTTTTTAAACTTTGAGCAAGCAATGAAAGTTGCATTTAATGACTTCGATGATGATTAATTTTTTGCTCAAGTAATTTTCTTCAATTCTCATTTCATTTATCTTAAGAAAATTTAGTTTACTTTATTACCTTTCACGTCGACATCGCTGGATACATTCATTGTGAGTGCATTCAGAAGGACAGTTTTACCAGTTCCGCTGTAATCATGCTGAGTGATGTTTATTGTCATAGTAATTATCACTACCATTATCAATATCATCATTATTCAACTCTTCTAAATATTTAATTTACTCGAAGTTTGAGTTTCCGAAATAGAGAAAAATCATGCCTGCTTCCCATAATTGCAAGTGTTGTACCGGCCATTGCATAACCGGAAACTGTAAGAAGAACTAATAAGTATTTAACATGTTCTTAATAGAACTAGAAAGCCGTCTTTTAATAGAAATAAAGAAATAACGCCTAAAAAACTAAGCCGTTTTGAATTTTCTTCTTAATTCTTCTTTAAAATACTCAGATTTGCATAATTCTCTCAAAAATTTCAAGAACGGTACCAATTTCTGCCTCTAAAATATTACTGTTAATTAACCTTTGCTAAGTATGGTTTTTATTTTCCTTGATTCTCGAACGATTTTGAAACATTTCAGCAATGATTTCTTTGCATGTGGTACTTTTACTGTGACATCTGTCCACGTGACAGTTTTACCTTCATTATCTGAAAATATCTGACCAAAACGGTTAGGCAATAATCTCGCAGTATTACAATCTCATAATATTGGCTGGATTAAATGAAGTTATCAGGGTTATTGCAAATCCGATCAGTGGGTTGAATATGATAAACAATAACGACTGAAATTTTATTAAGCTCTGTCTGGCATGCATCTATAGCATAATGGGAATCCTACTAAATGATAAGATAGACGGAAAACTTACTCCGCCTGGCAGGTTCCAATGGTGATGCTAATGATACATGCTTTATCAAATGTCGGCTATCCTTTTGTGAATGGATCTGTATTAATTTAGGGATTTATGTGAAGTAAATACAGATGTAGCTTTTCTTGCACAGATTTGAAAATTAATTGATTGCATAAAGCTTAGTAAAAATTTAGGAAAAGATGAAAAAGGCCATTAATGATTTCAATAAGTTTATAAGAGATGAATCGAACTTCATCTGTAACTCCATTTTTAGTCCTTCCCTTTTTTCCTTTATCCGAGTTAGCAGAATCGGTCATCCTGTGATTTGAGTTTCTGTAAATTTAAATATTTACAAATTGATAATCAAAAAATGATCAGAATTGGTAAACAGATAAAAAGGCCCATTATAAACAATAAAAGTGGTAAATTTTTCAACTTGATGCCATAAAGTCAACAACGACGTATGAATGAAGAGATCTCAGTAGGGTGACTTGCTCACTCTACTTTTAAACACAAATTTGCCATCTAAAATCCTTTTGATTGAAAAATTCCAACTCGAAAAGTGAATTTAACATTAAACGAAAATTATGAATTGAACAAAAATAAGACTCGTTTCTCTTTCAAGTCAGAAAAGAGTTGCACCGCTCTATCTGATCACTAAGCAAATAATAAACTGAAACAACGCTTTCCTATGTATATAATTCATGTCTCACAAGGAATTTGCATGTTGGCATCCAATTTCAATAGTTCTGATACTACCGCTTCGATCTTCATGTTTCTGCAACTGTGGATTAGGAAATCCGAATAAGAGAAAGCAATATAACATTTCTTACCGCATAATACAATTTATTTGGTTATTTTCAGTCATTGGTAGGAGTGTTTAAAAGGCAAGTATACATTTCAAATTTACCCTAACCTATAAAAAGACACTAATGCAATCCGGAGAGTTTATTCTTAATTTCTTCAAATGTTTTCCAATAAGGGAGAGATATGTAAAATCTGATTTACCCGTTATGAATAAAAAAAATATTCAGAAAAATTTCTTCATAATAACTTTCAGAAGAAAAGTAATAAATAGCTCCGAGTTAGCACAGAAAATCATTTACACATCCTTACACCGCCCGCGGACGGTCGGGCTAAAACCGGGTTGATTTTAGCAAGTTACGACTCGTTTGACGTACAGTTCTTCGCCATTATTTTTTATGCATACGTTGTTCTCGGTGGCGCAAAAAGTGATCAAAGAAGGCGTGGAAATAAAATTATATTCAGTGTTCAATGTACGGCTCATCTGTCTATTAACCGCCAGTTCAAATTATCAATAAGAATGTGGTAATTCAAATGAAATAAAATGGTGTAGAACAAGAGAATCGGAAGATTCTCGCCCTACCAAATCTAATTTTCAACGGTCAATTTCTGAATTGCTACATTTAACTGCCACCTATTGCCTTCACTATGTGTTTAATGCGTAATTTTAAATATTAGTTATTATTAAAATATTAGAACATTTCCAATGAAAATTTTCTAGAAATTTCGGATTGAATACATTAACATTAGCAGGTGAGCATATTTCTTAGGGAGTAAAACAATGAAATTTGCTATTTAACAAATTACCTGAGCTACTCAAATGGTGGAAAGAGAGAGCGAAAGAAGTGCAAGCAATTGAGCTTTTTTTCTCTTTCCCTTTCAAATTAATTAGCAATATATGAGTTTCAACAGCGAGCTTTTTGTGGAACTTTTCCAAAATGCTAATTTTTTGTTTAAATTTAATTTGTTTCATATGAAAGAGCGTATATGAGTGGAGCGCAGAGCAGCTCTTTGGGTCAATTCATAGTGGAAGTACCAGGGAGAAACAGAATCAGTAAAAATTCCGGTAGTCCTCTTGGAGCATCAACGATTACATTACCAACTAAATCCTCCTCAACAAGTGAGACTCTGTCAACAACACCCGTATCGATTCTCTCCACAGATGTCACTGATTATGATCCCCTTGCCGTGATATCACCAGCCTTATCAGTCTCAACCACCTCAAACACCATCGGATCAGTAGAAAAATTCACAGTGCAGCAACACGTCAATAGTACTGCAACAACAGCTGATGAGAAAAAGACGCTTGCAGAACTACGCAAATCGCAATTGCAAGCTTGTCGTAGTAACGCTACTGTCATTCTCAATAGAAATACTGCGGTACCATATCATTACCTTCCCTTCACCCTCCGTATTATATATTCAAACTAGCAAAAAAATCATTTCCTTTTTAGTTTAATATAAATTCAAGTCATATAAATCGAACTATTTGTACCAAAACTTTCTTCACATTTTGTAAAAAGTTAATTATTATAGCTACAGCTAATCCAGCTAAACTTGAAAAGATTGATATCACGCCTTTTGCTCTTTCATTAATTTTCATCTGAAAGAGTAATGGCATGATTTGAAAATCTGAAGATGAATTGAAAAATATTAGAAATAAGATTAAGACTACGATTTAACTTTTCATGAATGACGTTTAATCTTTGGTTCTAGATTGTAATAGATCGAAAAGAATTCGCACAAATTTCTCCGTATTTTCGAGCTGCATTTTATGGTGGTTTCTCGGAAACAAAGTCTAAATTATTGAGTTTTGACAGGACTAAGGTTTGTCAAACCTTTTACATCAGGTTTATTATACTGCTGACAGCAAAGGCGCTTACCACCGACTACAATTTTTTATTAGAAGAGGACGAATGAAAAGTTTTCATACATTCTTAATTTTATTTTAAAAAGCAGAACTTGTCAGCTAACATACTTGCAGAGTGAGGAATTCTTACATTGTTGTGCCGTTCTCAGCCAACTTATGAGTGAAAATAAATGGAAAGTACCGAATCTGCAATGGATGAGTCTGCAAAAAGCGTTTGAAGTATAATTATTTATCTTATTATCTGAGACATATTTATTTTACTACATATGTTAACTTGAAGATAAACGTAAGTTGTGCATATCAATGTTAAACTCATTCCATATTTTTACACTTCTTCAGATAGCTTTTACAATCCATCAGTCCTGCTAGCACGGAAAGGAGAATGTTCGTTGCTACCTTCTGATAATAGTCACTTATATATTTACTGTTTTATAGAATAATCAACAGATGCATGCAAATATAAGAATATGCTAAATTATGCAATTAAATATGATTCTATCACTTAAATTGAGTATTTAACTTTGTAGCATTAATTTTTAATTTTCAATAGATATTAGACATTGCATCATATTTGTTGATTGATCCATTGCTAACGCTTATATCTGACGTGATTGTCGCCAAAGTAAATGCTGATTCATTAGTTCTCGCATATCATAAAGCAGGTATTTCATATTAGTGAATTTCTTTAATTTTAAAATAAATTTTTAATTTGCAAAAGATATAGCTTTAAAGGCAATAAAAAAAATGAAGAATAAGCTAAATTATTGTTTGTCAATCTTATCAAAACTGAAATTAATTGAAGAAAACAATAAGAAAACTTTCAGAAAATCGCCACGTGCCGTTAGCTCAAAAATTATGGAAAATAATTGTTCGTCAATTTGATCGATTACTAGCAAACAACACTTTTCTTGCGTCAGTTTCAGGATTGATTTTCTCTTTTTCAAGTTGATTATTGTTTTAAAGTAAAAAATAATGATTCTTTACAAGCTGACAAATAATCCTTTTTTATCACAAACAAAACATTTAATGTGATAAAATGATCCCATTCATAATTTGGGTGCAAAAGGTCCCTGCTAATTTATAATATTTACTAATAAAAGTAAATTATAGTCAGTTATTTTTCTTAATTAGATTTAGCTAGTTAAATCTTTAAAAAAGCGAAATTGCAGTGACTAATAACATTACTACTAATTGCAATATTAAAGATTTTGCTTGTGATTGGGATAATTAAACATTGAATTTTGTTTCTTAGTCATTCAAAGAATCACTCGAAACTGTTTAATTCCAGACTTTCTGAAGCAGAAATCCTAAAGTTATTATGCGACAGATATTTAAATATCAACAAAAATGAAGAAACAGCGATGGTTCGAAAATGGATTACGGTTAGTCTAACAAAAACATCGAAGAAACTTTTCGCAAAAAGTCAAAAATTTCAGTAAAATTTCAGTTAGCACAGGTTAAAATGAGTGGTAGAATTTAAGGTCAATGATTATGATGGCGGAGGTGCGGTACGGTTGCGTGAAGAGCTCCGTGGGCGAAATGATACTGTTGGCTTTAGTGAGAGTGAGCCACGTTTGCCAAATTCAGTCTTACTTGCAAGTGGTAAATTTATAACGCATAATTTTTTTTGTAGTTCTAGAAATTCAGATTTTTTTCAAAAATTTGAAAGATAGTTCAGAAGGTCATAAAGTTGACTATACTAGGTGGTTGGTCAAATGTGGGCCCAACGATGTTAGTGGAAACGCTCGATTCCCGGGCCCAAAAATGGGTACGTTCGGAGCTCAAACTTTTTGAATTACCACGTGCTTACCATGCTGTCATTAACACTGGTGAACATTTATTTACCATTGGTGGTTTCAATGGTGCTGAGTATTACCGGTCAACGAGAAAATTTAGTTTAAGTAATCAGGTAGATTTTGCAAATTCATTTTTTCTAGATGGCAAATTAGATTTGATTAAAATTAACCAAATTCGAATGAATCAAATTAAATTCTTGCCACACTCATGAATATCTCATGGACTTGCTTTTAATTCAAAATAACCCGAAATTCATTCAAAGCTTTACTTGTGTTTAAAAATTTTTGTTTAAAAGGGAAAAATCTGAGGAACATTAGTAAATAGAGAAAACCTCAAAACTGGGCTTGAGATTTTAAATCAAAATTGGTTAAGTTGCAGGAATGTATAGAGGTTGCACCAATGTATGATCAGCGGTGCTATGTTGGATGTGGTTTGCTGGATCCAGAACGAATTATAGCAATCGGTGGTTATAATAATCACGATCGCTTAAGATCTGCTGAGATTTTACATATACCGAGGAATCAGTGGCATCGAATTGCTGAAATGAGCGTTAGAAGGTTACTTTAAATTGAGAAATCTGAAGATTAGTTGCGAATTTAACTGAAATGTAATGTGGATGGATTATGATAAAGATGACACTTTAAGCTGATTATGATAAAAAAGATGACGTTTAAAATGAAGCTTAAAGTAATTTCTGATTTTTTCTAAAATTATTCGCCTTATTTCAATCGTGGAAAGTATTCATCTCTTATAGAGAAAGAAATTAGTTGCAGAAGTGACGGCCATTGTGTAATAATGAAAAATATAGCATATGCTATCGGTGGTTTCGACGGAATGAATTGTCATTCGAGCGTCGAATACTACGAACCACAACGTGATCGATGGTTTATTATGAGTAACAATATGACAAGTCGAGTTAGTTGTCATCCGACTAAATCTGAATATTTATAGATCATTTGATCTTTATCGGATAGATTGCTGATGTTTCAGCGCTCAGGTGTTGGTGCAGCTACTTTAGAAGGTGTCGTCTTCATATGTGGAGGTTTTGATGGTACTAGTCGTTTACAAACATGCGAATTTATCGACACCAGGGAAGGAAAATGGCACCGCTTACGGTCGATGAATCGACCACGGTTTTAAATTTGATTCGCAGACTTGATTTGAAACTGATTTCAAATTTATGAAATGGAAATCACATTATTTTTTATGTTATCACGTTATAGAATCCAAATTCTTCAGAAATTATTATGCAGCAATAAGATTAAAGTTTTATTTTATTTCAGCTCAAATTTTGGTATAGAAGTATTAAATAATCAAGTAGTAGTTGCCGGAGGTTATGGAGGTATGGTTGGCACTATAGGTGAAACGGAAGCATATGATTTTCGTTCTAACAATTGGATCGAGTTACCAACGATGAGTTTGCGACGTTCAGCGCTTTATCTTACTCGAGTGGACAATCATGACATAATCGAGGCGTTTGTCCGTCCAAAATGTACTACTGCATGAAATATGGAATGGGTGCAGACAAACTTATATTATTTTCACTACAATCGATCTATCTCAGTGACATCACCAATTAATCCTTTCCACCGAAAAATTCTCACAAAATTTATTTCAACTTTTATTCAATTTTTATCTGCATTCATCACAATACTAGAAAATGCCACGAATAATGCTTTTAGCTGTATGACAGTAATTATGTCAATTGTTAATCACTCTTAAACGCTCATCATTATCATATTAATTATATTAATCAAAAACAAATTAATAATATGCTAAAATGTAATATAAAGATGTGTATGCTTGGCCTCACAATATGTGATTTGATATGTCTTTTCTTCTCCCATATCAATCAAAATAGTGATAAAAGTAATTCAATCTTGAATGCCAAACTTCTTTTTATAATATGCTAATTATGAAACTTTATAATTACCAATCTCTGAGGATTATAAAGCATGGAGCCTGAAGAGGTCAACTAGATAATTATCAAAAGTCGAAAATTTAGAAGAATGGAGAATTAATGATTGATTTTATTGTGTTCATGGTTCTTGATATTTCGTTCGAACTGCTTAATGCTTACTGTAATGCTATTCTTAATGTTGTTGAGGCGTAAATATATATAACATAATGTGTTGTTGTAGGTTAAAGGTTAAATACTTTATTTACTTTACTTTATATACGTTAAATACTTTACTTCATTAAAGGTTAAATACTTTCTACTTCAAGCTATTTGTTACAAAAGTTCATTTTTTCATGTGCTGCAGAATTTTCGCGTGGAAAATATAGTAATATATAAACAAATAAACCATGCAAATTTTGTTCATAACATTTTTTCATAGTGTTGATGTTTCGGATGGTTGATTCTTTCTACGTGCTCTTGCTGTTTGTCATGTGCGGGGATTCAATACCGATAGGTGGAAGCAATAATGACAATGCAAGTGCTGTCAGAGATGCTATCACTATTGTGAGCCTGATCTTCTATGATGGCATTTTCCGCCCATAATTTTCTTTTGCAACAGTAATTTCGAGTTTTCACATACATACATACATACATACATACATACATATATACATACATACATACATACATATATACATACATACATACACATACATTCACATATTTATAATTTTTTTCTGCACACGTCATAGCAGAAATCACAAATAATGCATTTCACGTTAGACTTGCTATATTATTTAAATTAGTAAACACTTTTCCGCTTCAGAATGATGAATGGATGACTTACTGTACATTCATTACTTACAACGACAATATATCATTAGCATGGTATATTAGTGATGATCAAATGGAAAAATGTATCCGGGAAATAGAAAAAGCGGACTGGAAAGAAATATATACAGTACCAGATGATATAAACAGTGGGATAAAACAATTATTTTATATTTTTGAAGAGCCGTTCGGTTAGTTATATATTAGAACCGTAAATGCGGAATACAGAAATACTTCCAAGGATTTTTATTCAGAAATTAATATTGGATGTTGTGTAAAATAATTGGACAACGACTTTAATGTGAACTAACCTAAAACATCCAACATAAAGTTCTTATGTTCTGAAATTTTAATATGACCCAATACTCAAAAATTGAGTATGGATTAATGAATTTAAATTAATAAAGTGCCACTACAACGTAAAGGTAAATGGGAAGCATTATGTATCCTTGTCACGTCACGTAGCCATATCATCGCTAAATAACAACGCTTTGCTAAGATTAGATATTAGGCATTATTGTGCATCGCAGTCATCTGTTCTTTCCTTTTCGATTATTAATTTTCAAATCTAATTTTTAACAATATAATATATCACTCACTATTCACTTCATCTGTACAATAATTTATGGCAACATGTTGCAGTCCCAAAGAACACCGCCTGCTTCAGTAAGGGTGAAACGGATAAAATATACAACATAACAATATCATGTGTGAATTTCACCGAACCAGAAGGTTTGCTTTTACTTCTTACTACCGGATATTTGAAAGTTCTTAAAACCTTACCAAAATATCTTGTTTCAGAAACGATCATACCTATTTGAGTTAAACTTTAGAAGCATTGATACACTTCTCAACTTCTTCTTTCCATTTTCTCATAGCATTTTTCATTTTAAATATCTGTTCCTCACTGCAAATAACTATTTACAACCTTAGCAGCAAAGACAGTTTCAGCAGCATTCAATGACACGACGGAATATAATGTAAGTTCATTGTTCTTTGATTAATTCAACATGTTATTGGCAGTTTCTGTTAAAAGTTAAGAAGATAGAATTGTCAAATAAATATAATAATGATGTGAATGTAGAAGCCATAGAGAAACAGAAACAATGAAGATCAACAATGCCTAAATATAGTAGTCCATGATGACTTTATTGTTAAATTAAAATGCTTGATCACTTCAAACAAACTTCGGGTTCAACTCATTTTAAATGAACTCATTTTAATAGAAAAAATACTTATTCATCTATCAACATCATTCCATTATTTCAGAACTGGAACAGTTCTGTGGTCTCATATACAAACTATACATCTACAACAATGGTTGCCATTTTCTATGTATCTAATATTATGCAAATACCATCTGACAAATATTTTGCTGAGAAATAAACTTGCTTCAGAAACCTTTACCGGAGAAGTGGATTCGAATAGTACGTGTTGGACTGGCCAGCTTCTCTGTATTTTTTGCAGCAATTATCGTCTGTGCCATTTTATTCTTATTTGTCGTTCTTTTCAAATGCATCCAGCGATTATTGCTAGTTAAACGAATGCCCACATCCCAATACTCTATCATCAAGCATGTTGCTGCTGATGAAGGAATTGTGAGATTTTAAACAAATATTAAAAATTAAGCTGAAGTGGAAAAAAGAGAGTTTCTAAAGTAAGAGAATTCATGTCCACATGCATTCCCCAAGCATTTACCTAGCTGAAAAAAACTAAACATTAAACAGAGTTCGAATTCTATCAAATCTCTAAATTGCAGGAAGATGTGACGCAAGAATCGAGCCATCACGGTTCAACACTTCACTATCGACAACAAATTTCCGCTTCAAAGTTATTGCATCTAAAAGATTCGCGCACATTTGTTGGATGCTTATTTTAACAGATAGTGCCACTAAATACTTGACATATTTCCCCGTTTGATACACTTTTTATGTGGGCTTTATAACGCCATGATATCTCAGTTCATTTTAGTTTATAAATTTTGACCTCAGGCAAGTTTCTGTCCCTCTTTGCATTCTTTCAGTTGTCTGAGAAAATCCAGGGTTTTTTGACTGGTCCTAATGTATGGCGGATGCATGAGTAGCATGCAAATTGCAGAATTATAGAATTGATTGCAAGTCTACCCGTGGGAAGAAAAAATCCCCCATTAAAACAAAAAATCCGAGAGCTATCGTATGACACCATTATACTGGAACAATGATATATGATTCTGATTCGGAGCGTAAATTGGAGCAGAAATTTGCATAATTCCTCTATAAATATTGGCACAAATAACAAAATTTCAATGATATGAGTCCCATATTCTGTTCTCATGTCGAGTTTAGAATCTGTAACATTTCCATATCATTTTAAAAAGAATGAATTAAATGAAAGTCCACCTCTCTGCCAAGTTGAAAATAGCATACATAGATATTATAGACGTTAAAGTTATGCTTTGGAGCCGCGGTGTATCGATTATGATCAAAAATTTCTTTGATCATAATTTGCTTAAGGAGAAATTTTGGAAATCTTCTTATCAACTTGGTCATTGCGATATTAACCCTGCACCTACCAGCTGCAATACTCAATTCTTTTTCAAAATATTAGAACAGGCTGATCAAGGAGAAATCTTATCCGTTGATCCGATGATCCGAATGAATATTCCTTTTGCAGTGATTAAAACATAAAAAAAAGACCAATAATGAAGCAAAAGATTCAATAATCTGCAAGAATTGTGTTGTCCAAAAAACTCCTCTCTTACTCATCGAGAATTTAATTTTTTTCTGATTCTCTTGCATATTTAATATTTTTAGAATTCATCAAAGTTTCCTGATTATTTCGTTCTTTTGATAGCGCATTCAAAAACTCCAAGAATCAATGCTTCTATGAACCAATATGAACATTTCAAATGAAGTTCCTCCGTGACATCATTAAATTACTAGTCCAGAATGAATAAAATGGTGTTTACGTGGAACTTAGCTACCTCTTTGCAGGAAATCTGCTTCACAACCTGTTTACTTTTCAGCATCTCATGCTTATTCTCGGATCAGATGACTGTAACAAGCAACGGATTAACTTAAATTAATTAAATTAAGAAAATCGGCGATTAAACTAGAATAATATGCATTAATATTTCATTCTGGTATTCGGGATATTATACACTCAAATGTTACATGAGAGAAGAGCCTTTCTTTGATATCTCAGATTAGACCGGATGTGTCTTTCCGTCCTGCTTCTCCTGATTCATACAATCCAAATTTCCTTTTATACCGCAATAAGAGAAAGCTGAACATGAAAATTTTTTGTTTTTACCGATCTCAGAAAACAAACAGGGAACGAAACAGCTGTATTTTTAAAAAGGAATCAGACTGAATATAATATTAAAAGATAGCGATTTCGCGGGGGCAGGAATTGATCATTTATTTGTTGCTAGCAGCAAAAGCAAAAAAATCCCGCGACCATTTCTACGAAACGTAATGTGACGCGCCAGTCATTAAATACATAAGTTTGCTGCGTATGTTCTGGTAATATCAGACAGAAACAAATAGAGAAATTCACAAAAATTTCAAGTAGCAAAGAAAAAAACATAGAGAAAAATTATTACAACCATATATAACATCAAAAGAAAATTAACGAGTAAAAAGTAGTTAACAACAGGAGAAAGTATAAGGTGGAAAGAAGTAAAGAGGAAGTATAAATGTAAAACGGTTGAATGAAAGTGATGAAATGAAACACTTATCATATAGAAGAAACGAAAGGAGAAATGAATGTTGATGCGATAGCTTCAGGCAAAATTGTGCTTATGAAAACTTGACAAATAAAGCAATGCTATCCTATCCAAAGCAAAATATAACATTTTGTCCCTATAACAATGTGATAGAAATTTTGTGAATAAACAAAATTTGCAATCAAAAATGAAAGCAAATAATTTAAATTTAGAATTGGTAACACTAATATGTCCCAGCTAAACCTGCACCTTACGACGATAATAACGGATTATTTCTCTATAGGCTAAAAATTAATTTCTTAATATTTGCGCATTATTCATAGGATAGTCAAGATATTTTTACGTTATAAAACCAAATCATAGTGATAAGCCCGGGCAACCAGTCACGTTAATTAAATGGCACATCATTCCTTTCCATATTTATTTTTTTCCACGACTTTTTAACCTCATATTAAATCCGAATAAGGTGCTACAATCAATATTTCATTTTCTTCTAGTCCATCATTGCTGTGCAATTTACTCATGCAGCGGTTGTAACGTAATACTTGCAAATCATGCTTAGAAAATTAAACATCTGATCCTATAGCTGTTATGAATATCGTCGAAATTTTGCACAAGATCTAGTTTTAATCTGAAATTATTGTGTAATATGCAATTGCTGATGGAAAATGATAGGAAGCAAGACGACAGAAAATTTCTGCAATAAATTCAAGAAAGCATCTTCCGAAACACAATAAACGTGATAAGACGCATACCGAATAAATAGATTCACAAAATGGAAGCTAGCCACACATATAATAAGACCAGAATTATTTATATTCGCATTCATATTCATATTATTATTATTATTATTATTAGTGTTGCTCATATCAGCTAAATATTATTATTATTATTATTAATTATTATTATTATTATTTTTGTTATCATTATTATTAATTGTTATTATTATCAAAGGTTGAGAAATCTTTATATAATACAATTAGAAAATCATAAAAGTTAGATACAACCAAACCTCGAAGGAAAATAACATAAAATAATATTTTACAAGTTCGCAAAAATTTGATTGCTTAAATCCATGTTGAAAATCTCAAAAATTCATAAACAATAGAAGTGTCTTTTGCTTCTAGACAAACTTACGCAGCAATTAATAATGCTGTGAACATCGTACAGCAAAGCATGTTGTCGTATCAATATGACGACAGCAATCTACAGCTGCAGTTGCGGTTGATATCACTTTGTTGTTTGATGAGTGATTATGATGTGGTGGATGAGCCAAAAGCTGAAATATCCAAATGCTCATCAATGTTTAGAGATATTACCAAAATACTGCATCTGAACATTCTGAACATTCGTAAAAAATAAAATCTTTTCTTGGGTCGGAACGATTGATAATTCCAATTTACATCAAAAACTGAATCAGTTCATTAGGCAAAAACCTTGAAGGTTTTACAGTTAGCACTATTCATTCTTTCCGTAGCTGCCATTCTACCACCTACTCTCCCAATAGTGCACTTAACTAGCCGTCTGGATTTTAGTGAAATGGATTAAGCTAAACATCATGAATTACTGTATTATTTTTTTTATTTTAAGGTAGAAAAAGGCTCACTTTAGTCTGATCACCAATACGAACCAACGGTTTGTGGGAAGCTTTCCTCTCATCAGATTGTTCACCATAGTGATAAAAGTCCCAGCACGACTCGCAGTAGTACTGCAGGCAGGTCACATCACCACAGAAATACGGTGCGTAGCGACCAGCGCACTGTATTCCCTCACACTCATCGCACATTTGTTCATCAATTACATAGGGTTTTATTTCCACCTGTAACCTCAATTTCTGAAACCTCTCAAATTTTCGTAAAAATAAGTGACCAAATGGATCACCATACTGCCTTCCTTTTCATCCAATCGATACAGTCTTTGCGCGGATTCGAAAACCTATTCGTTTAAAGTACCTCAATAAGAAAGTATGTTTGCAAGGCATACTTATTGCAGGGCTTTACAATCATAATACTTTAAACGAACAGGTTTTCAAATCTACTATGCATGATTATTTGATTTTTGAGCCATCTGTCTCACACATTTTCCGTGTTATGGCAGATTTTCTGATACTTACTTCCTGATATCAAACCAGTGCTTTTAAAACATCTTTTTTGATACTGTACCGGCTGATATTTTGATCAATTAATAAATTTAGAGGTTACAAATGTATGCCGTGTTTCGACAGTAGAGAAATTATAATTTGATGAGATAAAAATTACCCGTTTGCTCATATCAGCATGAGGAATATGCACAAAGCGTCCACTTATAGCTGCAATAAAAGACTGTTCAGTGGTGAATGTAACTCGTGCTGCTCCCTTCGGATACTTCAATTCCGGATCAATATCAATCCCAACATAACAAACCGATCCATAAAGATGATCTAGAACACTTGCCAACTCTCCTAAAATAAGCATTTCATAAGTAGAACAAATTCTTGAATTTCCGTCTACTGTAATATTAAAACATACGAGCTTTCGTCGGTCGAGGCACACCACCTATGAAAATAGTTCGTCGTGGATTCAGAGGCATGTCTTCTCGAAGCATGAATTCCATATCATTTAAGCGCCATGGTCGCACTTGTACCTTAGAATGTGGATAGCTTCTTATCAGAAGAAAAGTACGTCAAATTCTGGATATTATAGTATAGATGGAGTAAAATTCAGTTGTAATTATATCCGCTATAACTAATGAATGATATTAACAGAAAAAATTTCACCGGTTTGTCACGCATCGTTGGACTAGAAACAAACAAGTAGTATTTTTCATCCTCTTTGTGACATCTGCTCACCAACAGTTGCACTGAGCGCTCATCTTCAAATACCAGGAAGACGTAACCAGTCATGTAGCGTGCTGAAAATGACGTGTAATTAGGATTTTTTATAATTTATTGACATTTCAGCTACTCTTTGTATTTCAGAACAAAGGAATCGATATTTTGATTAACGGTTCAACAAACCTGTAGATCGTTCTTTAATACCGCTATCAGGACGACGTGGCCAATCAACAAGCACCGGACCAAATTGTGAAAATGTTGATGTTATTTCATCTAGAGAAGATCAATTTGTTAGGAACTGTAATGTAATATTGGGAGCAGAAATGGATCCTTCCTCATATCATTAATCTATGCTAATGGCTACTGGCTGATAACTTCCAGAATAACTGTTAGCAAAAGTTATTCAGCTCTAATCTACTGATAGCATTTTTCAGTTAAGTTTTTTGTTCATGATCGTACAAAATTTTTGCATTTTATTTCGAAATTTCCACTTAGAATTTGCAAATTTCCTATTAAAAAGAAGCAAAATCTTTCTTTACCTTCCGTAACATCAATTGGAAGTCCACCGACGAAAACTTTACGAGCGAAAATTTCAAATGATTCATCCATAATGAAATACGCTTCCGGAGTAGACGGAACACCAGGGTTACGTGATGAATTTCGGCGATCACTCGTTTCTGTTTTTGCTGTAACAAAACCAATAAATCATTGATCCCAAATTTTTTTCCTTTCGAGAAAGTTGTCGCCTTTCCATCCAACTGCCAAATAATATTTAGGAGAAACAATTTAACCCTTTAGGCAAAATGCGACAAAGCAGTGCAGTTATATTTTCATCTTCAAAAGTTGGTATACCAAAATTTTCAAATGAATTACCACTGTTACTAATTAAAGATGTGGGCGACCACGAAGAAAATGTTTTGCAAAGCTGGTCACGTGGCGTTAGTATTGTGCAACTATTACCGTTACCATTTTCGCTTTTATTACCAAACTTCTGCACCGGGCCACTGAATGAAATTTAAATATTGTTGGAATATGGGGAAGATGTATCTCTATAGTGAGAGAATGAAATAGTTGGCATTTGAAGCGTACATTAAAAAACGCTTCTTTTAGAAGAGTTGAGGCTATCGTTAGTGAAATAGCATGAATATAAACTATTCTAATGGTAATGGCTATCCTTCCTCATATCATTATAAAACGATGAAACAATGAGAAAGTATTTATGTTTCGCTGGCATGAAGAGCGCTAAAAGTTTCTAAAAAAATTTCACAATTTAGTTCAGAAAGACTTCCATTCTGCACAATTTAAGATACCCATGAAAATGGTGTTGTAAAGAGCTGGCACAGGAGCTGGATGAATTAGTTATACTTCCATCCGAAAGCGATTTTGGTGAACGCACATCCGACGGTATACGTGGACTAAGTATGACTGATGATACCTTAAAAAACAATATACTTGAACGTCTTTCGCATCTTTTACGAAAATCATTTTTAAATTAATTGATTGTAACAACGTTAAAAATTTCTCAATATTTTGATAAATAAGCTAAGTCATTTTACTATAGCAAAAGTTTTACATACGGATGCTTCCACTCTTTTAATAAAAATAAAAACACTTACTTTACTTAATGTTATTAAGAAGACAAGAAATATAAATGCTAAAAAAGGTTCAAATAAGTAATAAAAGTTTAGTAATGCCTTGAACTATCTCATCATTTATTAAACAATTGATAAAATCATTGATGGATCTAGAAGAAGGAAAGAAGGTTGCTTACTGGGTAAGTTGGTCGTTGAAAGGGTGAATATGAGGGACTGGTTGGCATCGATGGCCGATGCATACGATTATTCATCATCATCATCCTTCTTCGTACATCTCCCTCTAATGCCATCATGCTGATCAGTTGTTGACTGTTTGTTTGTCTATAATTTTATTATTATCCGTAAGATATCCATTCTGATTTTCCTGTATTAATGAAAAAAGACCAACAGTCAGAAGTAGCAAAGATAATGATATTAGAAAAGAGAGTAATAAGATATGGACGATAAACAGAAAGCGTGTTGATAATCATATTCAAATTAGTAAAATTTACATCCTCTATTAATGCACATTCCTTAAATGCCATAATGTACTATGAATGTACTGAATCTTATAATGAAATTATGAATTTATTATTAAATAAAATACCGAATTGATAATGAGATTTTGCTAATTGATAATTTATCCGTTAACTGGATAATAAAATTTCGGAATACTGCCAAAGCGCTCGACTTCGAGAGAAAACTGTGAACAAAATTGACACTGTAAATTTCTAAAAGGTGGCAGCATGATTACGATAAGACGTATGTAAATTAAGAGCTATGACGTCACCACAAGACAGTGAGCTATTTTAAGATACGATTTCTCTGGCAACAAACTGAAAAGTGGTTCCAATTCAGTTAATTTCTAAGATCAAAATTTCCAATGCTGTTATGAATATGGAGGACCACTGGGAATCTTAGCTAATAACATAAGCAATAGCAAATTCAGTATAAGCCAAAAATTTTTAAAACATGATAGTACACTGCCCAATAAGAATGTAATCCTAAAATGATTCAAAGTAGAATAAACAGGAGAAAGCGTAGAATAGTACTATTTATGAATGACTAAATGGCAACAGTATTAGAATTATCTTTTGAGGAATTATTATGATTCGGAAGGGTATAGAATAGATTCACAGGTTAGAGAGAGGAAGAAAGAAAGGCATAATTTTTTCCTCTAAGCTCAGCAACAGTCCGAAAAGAGTACGAACTCCTACAGCTTTGTCGAGATCCACCAGAAATACTGAAAATGAACCGCACTTGAACACCACACCAAACTGAAATAAGTGTTTATGCAAATGAAACAGAACAATTGTACAGCAGCATCTATTAGTTCATGCTATCTACAATAGAAATTTAGAAAATTGAATCAAAAAATTCTTGAAAAAAGACGGAAGCAACCGTTCTTTCTAACTTATTGCTGTTGTAACTGAATAACAACTTCTTCAATAGATTGACTGAATAATAATTTGTAAAATTTGCATAAAACAATTTTATCTCTCACATATCTTTTTAGTCAGACAGCGAGCAGCATATACCGGAAGGGAAGTCGCACAATGTGATTCTTCTCTTCATTATCATTCTAACAGGTCTTCATTTCACTTGCAACATACGATAAGTTAAGAAATTCTGAAATTTTAATAAAATTTAAAATTAAAATTTGAGTGAGGAATAAAAGAAAAACTGATAAAAGCGATCTTTCTGTTCAGTAAATGTCTCCGATATCACTGTTCGCGAAGACTTAACTCGTATATCTGCTAATGACCTGTTTAGACCCTTCATAACCCTTCACTCTGACCCATCTCACATTTTCCTATCCCTCCACCCTTATTCATCCTTCCTAAAGCTTCGTGGGTGGTCTGCGTATATGATGTGTGAATGTCTTCGAGTATTAGTTGAGCTACCCCTTATGATAGGTAAATCGCGAGGAGTGATTTCAGCGATGATTCGTGTATTTAATCACAGCAGACCTCAATTCCCGGCATACGGCAATTTACTGATAGCTGTCCTGGGATACTCCAATGTTAACAAAGCGAAAGAGTTCGTCTTAGCACTCATATTTTATTGTTATGGAAATTGAATTTCAACTATAAATATTGAAGCAAATCATAGTAAATGAATTCCGTTTTGTGATTACAGCAGATCTCAATTTCCGGTATATGGCAATTTCTGGAAGCTGCCCTAGGACACTTAAATGTTAGCAAGGCGGAGGAGTACGTCTTAGTACTCACATTTTATTGCTATGGAAATTGAATTTCAATCATAAATATTGAAGTAAATCACAATACGTGAGGTCTGTTTTATGATAAGTGAAAGGGAAAAGGAAGAAACAGATAAAAATGGCCGCTGGTCGAGGGGAGATATACAAATGCGATATTGCAAATATCACAGATTCACGTTGTTGGTCGCGCGAATAAGCGATGTTCATGGCTTTCTCAACAGTGTCGCAACGGTTGTGTACCATTTAAAAGCTCCTTTTGAAGATTTTCCGTGAATACTGAAATAGTACAGTAAAGTGAGAACATAGTTTCACATGATTAAAGTTGAGCATCTACCGAAAACAGATATACCTGAGTAATTTGCTTGAAAATCACCTTGTTCCATGTTATCACTCTCCAATATTTGGATATTTACATCTAGAGAGTTTAGCCATTTCGTTATATATTCCATCTTATCCACTGAAAAGTACCTATGTGCTCCAATTGGATAGTAATCGATGATAAGAACATGTTTATTAAAACAAATATTGCAAAATCATGTGAACGAACGTGTGTGTAGTCGAATCAAACTGAATGGTTCATCATTGGTGATGTTTGGATTACGATGAGATATCACTTGAAATGGATTGATGCGGTTGTGACGCATTGGACGTGCAATTGGATTCAAATAACGCTTCACATCATCAATTTCAAAAATACATTTCTCACGTGCTCGGTAATTGCAATTCTCCAAGTCCCGAAGTATATCAAGAAAATGCTGACTGAAATTACTGATAGTAATAAGATATAATCAGATTGAATATTTTCTCGAGAACTCCATTCCAATAAGAGACATGACTTGCAAACATGACCTGATCTTATGCAGTGATGAATTTCTACACCTTACATTTGAATTCATCATGGCACAAATATCAAAAAGCTGACAATGTCCATCTCTTCTGTTGATCAAATAAACCGATCATCACATACCATGCAGACTTTCCAACAACCACTGCACATTTGCTAGGTGCACTAGCGTGCAAATCGCATGCGTAGCAAAAATTCGATGAAACATTTTGCTCCCAACGTGAACTATCGTCAACATCTGTCTCGACGATACGTCCAATAACGGCAATCATATCTTCCATGCATATTAAGCGCTCTGTACGAATTGACGTTGTGTCTCCTGACGTTTCAAAGCGAATATATATTTTAACTGTTATAGAATAAAAGAAAATTGCGCCTCATCTCTCTTCATTCTCTATCTATTCACTAGTTTTGCTAGCTTTTAATTTAAAAACTTAAGAAATAAATTCGAAACTTTACTTTTTGCAATGAAACGATTATTTCGGAAATGACGAACTTATGAGAATGACGAACTTTTCAGGGCAATGTCACGTTTTCGTTTAATCCAGACTAAACTTGCGGCTAAACTTTGGTATTGTGATGCTGGCACTAATATCAGATTTGCCCAGCATCCCCTCATTTCGTTTGCTATGCGAAGACATGCATGATGAACATTTAAATAGTTTGGTGTTTGTAATAATTCACAAAAACCATTTTCTAAAAACATCAATCAAAGACTTCAGTTGTAACTTTTCATTTTTTGAATTTTTAAGTATTTAAGGATGATCGAAAGATTTTCTTCTGAAACGCTTAAAACAACAGTTAGTTCAAGTTATTTGTTTAAAATTTTAATATTGTTTCCAACAATATATTACAATCATTATAAAACTTTTAAATTTAAACCAGAAGAAATATACCTGAAATTCGAGAAAATTGGTGAAATTGATGATTGGTGGGATAATCGTGACGTATTAAAATACGTTTGCTGTCGACAATTCCCTCATTGAGACTCATCACGTAAGTACAAATCTCAGCAGGTGGACAAATTAGCTCATCACCAGTACTGTTTGACTTGAAGATACAATAAGGCCGAACTGTGAGCAGCCCGAATCTTTTCTTAGCTAACACTTCCGTCTATAATCAACTTTTTGACTGTCACTTCACTTGTAATTAATTCTAAGTGATAAATCTCATGAATTATAAATAAAACTATATTTGTTCATTCGTTTCTTTACCCTTTGCTTATTTCAATTGTGTTTGCTTACGGTAAGATCAATTTGCAGCACGAAATACAACATGCTACAATACATACTACACATTATAATATTTAGCTCACACTTTCCTCTACTGTACTCTATGGTATCATACTCTCATCATATCAGCGAATTTTGCGCAAAAATCCCATAGAATATTTGTGTGGCTTCGGAAGAAATCTATGGTGAACTTTGCTTTAGTAGATGCAACATGATAAAACACAGTTTGCAGGATGCAGCATATCATAGTGCAGTACTGCTGTATTTCGTAGAGCATTGTGCGGAAGGATAAGGAGATATTGTGGCGTGCATAACAGATGTAATTCAGGATAGTATAGCAAATCGTTCGAACCATATTTTCCTTTTCTCTCCAAACCAACTTCTGATAAATGCTTTGGCGAAGTAATTTACGCTTTGATTCCGTAAGTCTGTAGGAAAATGGTTTCGGTTGTAATGATAGTTCCAGTTTGGATAACGGTCGCGTCTTTGACTTATTGATAATTGAAATTGATTGCATTTGATAAACTTGACGCTCATACTAAATTGATATCAAAATTAAATTGCTATGAGTTATTTTTTTTAACTTTTTAATCACAAAAAAACTTGATTCAAAATTTTAAAACATAGAGTTGGCAGATGGAAAAATTTGAATCAACTTTAAATTCAATGACAGAATTTTAAATTCAAATTACAACCGTTCTTGCAAATTCAAGATATATCGGAGAGGACATATTTTCTAACCATCTTTCAATAGCAGCAATGCAATCATGTCTCGCCTAGATGATAAAGCCCTCGTGATAAGTACAAGTTCTCCTTAACATGCCTTTCTGTATTATCTTATCTTAATAGGAATCTGCCTTATTTATTTCTCATTATAAATTTATTCATTTGCTGCTATCTACAAAATGATATGACAATTTTTTGTTTCTGAATGCGCAAGCGGGAAATGTAGAAATTCCGGATAATATCAGCCAAAATAAGATCATAGAAAATATTATCCACGATTATCGATGTAGGCATTGATGGCTTTAGAGTACAGTATGCAAAAGACATAATATCTATAGTTTGTTCGAAGGATAAATGGAATATAACCAAATAATAAAAAATAACAATCCATAGCTAAGCCAGATTTCAAAAAAAGGACAAAAATGCCAGCTTCTTTTTCTAAATAAATGCGCAAAGTTACGAGCTCTTCACCTCCTAAAACTGAAAGAATTAAATCAGCTGCAAATAGTTTCCAATGCGTTTGTATTAAAATGTTTAAATTTCTTCTTTGAAAAATTAATTTAACATGATGATACGAGTTTTATGACATTTCCTGTGTACTCCGACAAGTTACACCTTCATAATGAATGTAGAACAACAATTATCATTATTAGTTCTTTTATTATTTGAAGGTCACATGATGTACATTCATACCCAAATTCAATGCTTTACTTAGAGTATGGCCTTAACAAGTCTTGTTTTTGCACGATGCAAGTTGTAATTTGTCAAGTGCAGTAGAAAATACATACCTCATCACAACGTCGACGGCTTTCGCTGCGCCACTTTTGACGTTCATCTTCGTTCATCGATTTCCAATCACGTGTAGCCCGTTCGACCAATTTCTTGGCCGTCAGACGTACACCTTTATTCTCTGCCTCGTAGACAGGCCTTCGGGCATCGGCAAAATACATAAAACCATTGGAAGAACGCTTTTTCGTCATTTCATTTGTCGTTTATACTTCCTTGAGATTGTTTTTCATTTAACAGTATTTGCTTTCCGTTCTTTTAATTCAAAATAGATGAACTAAAAATTGACTCACTTCCCTTTTTTATTATGATTGTTTATGAACTTGCAATCAGAATCCTTTTTGTTTCATTTTTGATTCACAAGTTCCATATTTTAAAGTAAGATCACATTTACCTGTCCACACCATTTAACTTCATCCATTCACATGCTTAAACTTAGAGCTGATTTAAATGAGCATTCTGGAACTGGGAGTATGTGATTGTCAAGCAAGCATTGTAGAGCAAATTTATCCTCTGATATCCCCTAGGGAAGTGGCGCTCATTTTCTCCAGTCAAGAATTTGTTGTGTATTGCGCGGAAAATGGAGCTTCGATGTTTCCTTGTTTTTGATACGATCAGCCCAATGATCTCAGTACAAAAGAAAGAATAGCACATATCACAGTATTTTAAGACAATATGAAAGATGTTGTCACATTTCTAGAACTGGCTGAGTATAGTTAATCTGTCAAGTATTCAAATTTCGGTTGAATTGAGTTGATGTAAAACATCTTTCATATCATATAACCCACAATATCGCTCACGAAGGTACCCGCCTCATATACAAACCTCAAAATCCCGAAGTTAGGCTCCCGAGTCACACTTCGAAACGCTGTATCTCACAGTATCGCACAATGAACCAGCCAAAAGCAGCCTGCAAGTAAGATAACAATAAGATGCAATGAACGAGTCAACTTCTTCACACATTTTTATGCCACATTTCATTTGGCGTATTCATACAAGCGTTCTCTCCAACGCTATTGAACGCCTCAAACTTCCTCACATCTCAATCCGCCACATCCATCAATACTTTCCGTGTGAATATATTTATACGTATATATACGCTGCAAGTAGATGATGTGAATTTGCGGTGTTCCTTGTATTGCTATCTGTATGTGTACAGCATGCGTCGGTATGTGTATGTGTACATGTACATATGGATAGAACGTATGCACGTACGTGTGCATGCACATGTCTCATGTCTCCTTTAAGCGTCCCAATGCACTCTCTCATTGATGCAATGATATAAAAATATAAAGCTATAGTATATTATTAGTGTTCAAATGAGGGTTGTAAGTAGGCGGGACTTAATATAGCGAAGTTACGCATAATGACGAATTGCGTGATCACTGACGGGCGAGATTTTTTCTCGTCCCATTCATTTAGGTGTGTACGTTTGGGAAAGTATAAAAACGTTATGGGATTTTGTCGCTCATTCCCTGGCAATCTTCCGTTCAGTTAATGAGACAGGTTTATGCATAGTTCATGTGCATTTTCTGAGGATCTAACATTTCGTGATGTGCTACTTCTGTTTAACGAGGGACTTTGTATTATGTCAAGTACGTGTTATCTGGCGGTGCGTTTGATTGAACACTTTTTTTGATTGCGATGAATAAAATAGTGAAAGTTACTCAACAGAGAATTTTGGCATCGAAAGTTCATGTTTATTGTCGAAATGGTTAGCAACGGGTTTTGTTTTCTTTGTATAGAATAAATCATTGGAAGGAAGAGGGAGACAGAGGAGTAAGATCGGGGACACTTACACATTATAAATTATTTACAATACAGCACACGGAGTTCTCAGTTAGTCATTGTTTAGTAAAGATCGTCAATTTTAGGGAAAATGGAAGAAAGTGGCAACGATGAAATTCCTGCCAGCACTACGTCAAATAACTCAGCTGGAACTGTTGGATGGTATGGTCGATTTCAAGGAATGATTGCGGACGAATTGCCGTTAGTTTTTTCTTTTGTATGTTTTTAACCGACAGAATGTAAGCTTCATAACAGAGAATTTTGCCAAAACTTTCGCGTCCTTTGATTTATAGTAAAAAGAAAATTTATCACAGAGTCATTGAATGAAATATGTTTTTGGAAATTATGTGGTATTTGAGTATGTGTCTTTTTAGGTATGGCATGTTGATAGATTTACACATTTGCTAGCGTAAAATCATTCGTAGTAACTTGATACTTTTTTCCAGTCCAGAATATATGAAATTCCTTGTGTTGGACTATTTGATCTCCCAGGGATATAGGGAGGCAGCAGAATATTTGTGCGAAGATGCCTCTATACCATTCCCGAGAGATGCGATTGAAAATCTAGATCAACGGATGCGTATTCGTGATGACATTGTAGAAGGAAAGGTTTGCACTATTAATAGTTCTGATCATCAACTTTTATCGTAGCTATTACCAGTTCTATTTTCGTGTTTCAGTTATTTAACTTTAAGTAGTGTTTCTTCCAGTAAAGCTGTGATATAATTTATGGATATCCTGATTATAAAAAATCAGCATGTACTTTATGAGTATATGTGTAATAAAGGGAAGATTTGCATTTCACGGAGTTTGAAGACGAAGGAGGGGTGATGTAACAAAAATGTATAATGGACTTTTTTTGCTACCTTTGATAATGATTCTTTTCTTAAGATTTCAATTTGAATGCTTAGATACAACATGCAATCGAAAAAGTTGTGAAAGTTGTGCCCGATTTGTTGGAACGCAATCCAGTTCTTCATCTTCGTTTACTTCAGCAGCATCTCATTGAACTTATTCGCAGTAAGATGGTGGGTTCATTTTATTTTCTTTTACTAATTTCGTTTTTCAGTTCTTTGTTGAGTATCGTAGCAGTGGATAAAAAGCAAATATCACAGTATCATAGTAATATCACAGTAATATCACCTGTTGAATGGCGAATTGAAGACTTTTGAGTGATTCAGTTACAGAGTCCGCACTGCTAATAGCCATTTTTCCGAACTTCTTTTCCATAACACTCGTTCTACTACCTTGAAACATTGTAACTGGCAACATGTATGTAGCTTATATTACATCTCGTTTCGGAATTTAATGACATTTATTTTGAATTAACATTAATTTCGTTAGTTAGTATAATTATCAATTTTAGTGATGACTATAAATTAATAGAGTATATCGTTAACTGGTATACTGGTAGGGTATATCATTTATTCATAGTAGCTAACATATTGATAGTAACTAACATATTGATAATAGCTTATTCATAGTAGCTAACATATGATGAGAATTTTCAGGTGGAGGAAGCTGTTGCTTTTACGCAATCTATTGTTGAAAAAGTAGATGCACATCCTGAAATGGAAAAAGAAATGCAAAAGGCTTTTGCAATGATTGCTTTTGAAAAACCTGAAGACTCGCCATACACATACTTATTAGAAATGAGTCATCGTCAAATGGTTTGTCATTGGTTTATTATCATTCATGTCACACTGGCCATTGTTTTTAAGGCATGGCAAAATTGGTAGGGGCTTCAGACAATGCCCAATATAAGAGTGGGATAGGTTTCATTGTTCTAGTCATTTCTCTTCTCTTTTTCCTAAGCATTTATTTCACATTTGCAAACCATCATGAATGAAATTTAATAAAAATGTTGCTTTTTATGAATTATTGCTATAGTCGGTTCATTGTGATATTGTTTCCTCATCTCTTAGTTGTCCTTTCATTTCTTTTTTCTTCATTCATCCCTTATTAAGTTGTCTTTATCATAGGTATGAAGCTGAAAATTTGTCAACGTTGGTTTGATCGATATCTTCTTTAGCCTTAAAATGATATGATCAGTGAAAATGATTCCAAATAAAATGGCCTTAAAATTGCTTTTGTTTTCAATTCTTTCCATTTTTGTGGTTCGCAGGTTGCTAACGATGTAAATAGTGCCATTCTCGAAGCTCTAAATAAACCATCAGCACCGAAGCTAGAGAATCTTTTTCGATTGATTTTGTGGTCCAAAAACGTATTGAAACATAACGACACACCGGAAAGCTTAGAGCGCCTTTTCAATGGACAAGTAACTAATATTTGATTATCCCTAGTCTGTTATTTTGACTATAAAGTTAGTCAGTGTCTCAGAAATTTCCTTTCTTTGAAAGAATTGTAGAGCGAAAGGTATAGCTACAAACTATCAGCGTTAGAATTGTTGCTATCGTATAATCTAAAAGGAGTCCTAATTATTTCCAATAAACTAATAAGTATTTTATAGATTAGGATTCTTTTTGAACAAAAACAAATTTTTGTTATTCATCTTGAATTGTCCTTTTCAGTGATTATGGGAACATATTCGCTTCGTGCTATAGTATTCAAACCGCTGTGAGTACCTCAAATTTTCGCACAAATTGTCTTTCCGAAGCAGGCAGGCATTCTAAGTGTTACCGTTCAAAGTTCTAAATTTTCTACACAGTGAAGTTTTTTTATAACCGTGATTATTTATATAACTTATCTGCGCTGCATCCAGAAGATATCAGTAATTTTTTTAATTTGAGACTTCATTTCGAGGTTTTTTGGTATTTATAAAAGAATTTGATTTTGTCTGTGCAACATGTTGTAAGTTTTGCGTGATCAATAAAATTTTTATTGAAAACTTGCAATCGTTTTTTGGCTTGCTAGGATCCTAAATATGTAGTCATTCCCTATGTCAAAATTGTCACGACTCGCACATGTTATTATTTTATATTACTCATGAAATGTAACACAAAATGTATTACATTTCAATATCCCAGATTTCGTTCAGAGATACTTGAAACTCATTTCCATGATGGGTAAGGTCTGTTAGGTGGTTCTGAAGACAAATTGGTTCCTGCAAGTCAAGCAGAAGTATTCATATTGATCCATTGCCTAGTGAAATATCACGGTTAAACATTCATGATTTTGTTGCACGATCTCGTTAGTCTTATGGGAATTGAAGGTTTCCTTGAGGGTGTCACCATGTTAGTTATGTACCGCTTACCATCATTCGTAACGCATTTTGCATTTATTCAAAAAGACGCTTTATTGGTAATTAGTCATTTGCTCTTTTTCTCTGGATATGTCTTAGGCTTCGTTAGCGAAACATCTACTATGTCGTGATAAAGCAGTCATCTCTCCTTCTCTTCAGATCTCATTTTCGAAGCAAATACACAATTCTTCACATCTCATATATTGTAAATTTGTGGGTGTGTATTCACTGGTAAAGTAGAAACAAACATATAACAATGCTGTACATATAACAGTGATCCAATCGTTAGTCTTATCGCTCAACAGCAGGCATACGACAAGTGCGGTAGCGACAGCACAATCCCGAAGTTAATTTCCTTAATGACTGACTGATTTGTTAATGCCGAAGATGCATCTACCTGCATTCAATTTTCAATTGTACTATTTTATTTTAACCTTCTGCTTCATTACTCAATAGGTACTCCTGAGTTATTCTTCATAGTGCATTCTTCTGTTTCTGCTAGATTCAAATCAAATAATCAGCTGTGTTTTTGTTAAGTTTTTTTCCATAAAATTACTATGATTTGATGTCAACATAATGGCAATACCTATGCATAATTTTTTCATTTTTTTAAAGTAAATCATTGCCATATAATTTACGATCTGCGTAGCATTTCAATCATCATTATGTTTACGGATCAAAATGAATGATTGATGGATAAGGTTACGTTTAATTTATAGATTTTTGAATTCTGCAATTGTATTATTCAATGGTGTATGTAATTAAAATTTTATCCATGTTTTGTTATTTGTAGGCAAAAAGGTGGTCAATATTTGACTATCTTTTTCTTTGGTCATTATTTTTTCTAACACGCGAAATGGAAGAAGCGTTTTGCAGCATATTTGAGAGTTACAACTAATCTTTATCTATGCTTTGAGACATCATACACTCTTTTTAGTCATTTTAAAAATAGAAATGATCTGTGGAATAAGTTATGGGTATCATCACTACTTGGAAGATATTGTAAAAATTCTTTATTTGAAAATTGCCTGGGATTGTTTCTGATGATATCTGATGATATAAGTGAGTATTTTGAGCGTTTAAAAGGAAGTGACTACCAGATTTTTGTGTGATCGTAGAAGAAGGAAAGTGTAAGATTAGATTGTATTTGTTGTAAGGTAGGTTCAGCTTCACCTCCTTTTGACAGATGATTTGGTGGGTGATAGCAACTGCCAACTAATTTTTGATCTTTATTTCCGTACTGCCACTACTTCTCGTTGAAGTTGAGTAACTGGAGAAAGCAACTCTTCTTACCATCGCTTAAGTCGTTCTCGTCAGAAGCATCATTTCGAGAGATTGATTGGTGGTGTGGACGTACTACTAAATTTTCCAATCAGCTGATTTGTTCTGTGTTGCAACCATTGTTTACCATTGCTTTACGGCTGCACTGAATTAGTGGTAAAAGTAAAATAGCAAATAATAGGTGGAAAATAAGTAAGCATTCCTGTTTTCCGTCAAACAATGATTATCATGAACGAGAATATGAAAGTTGAACGCTTCTTTTTGTATCTAAAAAGTGATACTTTTTTCAATTTATTGTTTAGTATGTTATTAGGATTACTTGAACCTTTCAAGCATGATGATAATCACAGTATTCAGTAGAGAAGCCAATGCTTTTTCATAGTATGATATTGTTTGAGTGAAAGAAGAGTAGTAATTGAGACGGAGTGGACTGGTAAATTCGATGAAGTGTTGTTATCAGTGCACATTAAATCCATTTATTATTCGCGGATATTCCTCATTCGTCAATCATTTTCACTTAGATAACGTCCACTGTCGCCAGCTTTATTATCTCTATCTAGTCATCATTATTCTTTTTTCATATCGCTATCGATCATTCTTCTTCTTCACTGTTCATAATTATACTCATTTATCATTTATAACTCCAATCATTCAGTCATATCTTCCATTTAGCTATTGCTCGGTTAATGAAATGTAAGCTCTTGTGGATGATCTAACTACATTTTATTTATAAGCATAGCCATTGTTAGCTGTTAACATTGAATTTCTGTTGCTGTGAAGTAGAAGATCAAATGAAGTGTATATGACGTAAAATTCCCACATGTCGTGAACTACTTGATTATTTAGTGCGGCGCATTTGTCCGTCATATTGACGAGATTTGATAATGTTATTCTCAAACAGCCATTTTTAGCCTTTCTAAAAATAGCTGTTTGAGAATAACATTATCAAATCATTATACATTACCAAAATTATTTAGAATTCGGCCCACTCATAGTTTATGATTAAGGCAAATGATAGAAGAAAAGGAGCTGAATTTCTATGAAGAGTGAACATTAAAGATGTAAACCGTTTCTGAGGGAATGATATTTGCCATCGCTGATGTTGTAGCAATCACATTGATTAAATGGACAGCTTAAACGGAGTAGTGGAAGGTTGGATGGGTGGTATAGGTTAATGTCAGAGTTAATGTGGTATGCAGTTGATAGAGAATTTTGGACGTAGTTAAATTTTGTTGATAGTAGTAGTGTTGGTACTGGTGGTGCGGATACTCATAATTGATGCGGATAATGTCCAACTGGCTGCGTTGTTGGTGATACTAGTAGCGGTGATGGCAGTGGTGATTGTGGTGTGGTGGTGATGATGTGGTGGTTATGATGGTGGTAGTTATGATGGTGGTGGTTATGGTGGTGGTGGTTATGGTGGTTGTGGTGGTGATGGTTGTGGTGGTGATGGTTGTGGTGGTGATGGTTGTGGTAGTGGTAGTTGTGGTGGTGGTGGTTGTGGTGGTCGTGGTGGTGGTGGTTGTGGTGGTCGTGGTGGTGATGGTGGTGGTGGTAATGATAATGATAATGATAATGATGATGATGATATTGATGTGTGTGGTATGGAAGTGGTGCTGATGGAGTTCGGTTGATCTTGGTTGAATAGTTCGAAAAAGAAGGCAGATTAGGTGTATGAAGAGGAGTAGGGCCAGCAGCAACTCATCCTCACCGACAGCGGTGCTCCGAACAGCAGTTCACTTCCGCGTGTATATATATATATATACATATAGCTTTCATACATATCTCTATGTATGTATGTATGTGTGTGTGTGTGTGTGTGTGTGTGTGTATGCGTATGCATATGCAAGGGGAAGGCCAGTCTTCGATATTTATTTTTGGACTGTCTATTTCACATTTCCGATTGAAAATGCAGTCCGTTACCCTGTGTAATGAGCAAACCGACATTGTTTGTGATGCAAAGCAAGATATCTTGTCTCTTTTGTTGTTCCATTTTATCAGTTATAATCTAACTTACCGATTTTTTTTTGCAACATAGTCTATTTATGCCGAACTCATCTCTGTGTTCATAGTTAATTGTACTGTTTATACAAACAACGGATGAAATAGTGGTTAAATTAAAGTTCTTTAAATAGTTAATGAAATGACGGTAACAAATTTTTATATAACCGATATTGATTTCCGGATATGGGAATGAGCGAATTGTGCATATTGAGCGGTATCAATTTTCATTCCATCATACTGTTTTGTCGGCTAGGCTCGATTATGCATTATAAAATGTTGTGGTCCAACTGAGTAACTGGAATAAGTGCTGTTTAAGATGGGTAGAAGAAAATATATTTTGATGCCTGAGATTCAGCTCTGTTCAATGAAATATCACCGTGAAATTTAAATATTTTTAAAAGTCTTGACCGGGTTGCTAGACGGTTCCCTTCGGTCGAGAGGCACATCAACTAATCTTCTTTTATTGATTAAGATTTTCTTGAGTGGATTGCTTTGAAATAACAACTTATCGGCGAAAAAGGTTGCCTTAAAAGGATAAGACGGAATATAGTTACCGCCGACATATTGTTTTATCTTTAGACTAGAATTAACTATGCTTAACAAAAAATTAAGCTAACTTTATCTTTTGCGCTGTACTGTTTTAACAATCGTTTTTAATTATTTTAGCTCCTTTTTGGAAGGACATTTTTGAAATTTAATACGTATTTTTTTTCCCTTTCTACTCAACTGGTTTATATTATTATTGATATCAGTATTATCACGAAGCAAAATTTGTATTAACAAAATTTTCAGATATGAATTTCTCTAAACATAAATACATTATAACCATATACTTCTGTGTTTCTGCCACTAATTTTATTTCTATTGTTGTTTTAATCACATTTGTATTTAGTACTGTATTTTACTTAAAAATTGACGCTTATCTTTGATGCATAATAATTAATCCAAATAAACGGGAGGGAGAAAAAGAGAGCGTAGTTTTCAAGTATATAAATTCAAGACGTTTTCAGGCTTCTCATATATCAACAAAAATTAACGAGATCGTCGTACTGTTGCTGTTCTGTTTTTTTATTGGTTTCATTACTACTGTATAATGGTTAGTCCTTTTCATGTCTTTCTTCAGTTTTGAATATACTTTCAATGGCTCAAAAAATTATGATAATAATAATATTGGTCATAATAATAAAGAGCCCATTTCAGATTTAAAGTTTTTTCTAAGGATTCAGGGAGCTTTATGTTTTGCTTTTCATTTGATAGGTTTCAGGAAAGTTGCATAAGCAACTGGCTGTCATATTAGTGTCACTGGTAATTGAAAGATTCTGGAAAAATCTCAATCTTTTATTTCTTATACTTCCTTTCTTCACTGAACCACAATCCAATCAAAGACATTTCTTACTTCATTTCTTTTAGTAAGGAAAGTCAGTGATCTTACTTCTCCTTACCTTCTAGTCCACGAAGTAATCTTTTGTCTTTTTCTCCCTCTCCTGCTTCTTAAATTTATTAAACTACTTCTATTCCCGTAAGAAGGTTGCTTTTTAAAGAAGACGAAAAGACAAAACTATGCATATTAATATTTCCCGTTAGGATCAATAAATCGAAGTATTGCTGGTTATTACTTTTATTTTTATTTTCTCCTAACTGGCATTTGTTTTGGGACTTTACTTCCAGGAGCGTTTGTTATGGTGTATGTTAAATAGTAAAGGGAAATGACTATGCAGTTGAAGAGCAGCTGTCGTCGTTGTTTTTAGCGAGTGAGAACCACACAAACATTACATGTATGTATAGTATATGCTATTTCTCATCTTTATAGGAAGTTTGCAAGGTTTTTGTCAGGTCAGATATAAGTATGGATCGGTCCGTATTCTTAAACTTATATATAGGCCAACTGCCCTACCTTAACTTCAGAATGTTGGAAAAAGTAATTTTCTGTGTTTTAAACATTTTTTACATTGCAGGAAGCATAAGAATTTACTGAGTTCCGTAAATTTTTTGATGGATTTATGGTAAAAGCTCAGTTTTTTGCGGTTTTCTGGTCTAATGAAATGATTAGGGCAAATGACGTCTTTCCATAACTGCAACAACAGTGATATGGATTATTAGAGTCTTGGTAGTTAATATCTTTTGAGCTTTTAAGACACTTTATATCCAGTATTAAATGCTCGGAATCTTTTTTTTCACATTCTGTTTGCTTAAAGTCTGTTCAAATAATCAATATTTGCTTGAAAAAGAAATGAACATTCTTCCAATGTTGCATATCTCATCGTGGAAGCATTCCAAAGACAATAAGTGACGATATCTCATTTCTCATATTGATTTTTATACGGATCAATGAATATGGGTGAGCTACCTGTCAATAATTACAGATATTTTTTTTCTGAATTCAGCTACTTTTATTGGTGACTAATTGATTAATGCAATTGTCAAGTATTAGATGATTTTTTATTATATTACTATTAGAGGTATTAATTAAGGATTTATTGTAGCAGTGCGTATTGATTCGTTCTCTATTTCTTTTACTTATATTTACAGAGATTAAATAAGCTTACCTATTATTATTTATACGAACCATAAAGTAAGTGAAAACGCATGCTGAATACATTATTGTAATCACTAGTAACTTGACAAAAAATGAAGTGAATTATGCAGTACAAGAGTTTCAACTTACCAAAAATGAAGATTTGATTCAACGGGAATGCTGAAAGAAATACAGGTTTCGGTGCTTCTTATAGTTATAGAAACCTGGAAGTCATCGATAAAACTGCCGAGTGCGTGTGTCTGTGTGCGTGTGTCTGTGTGTGTTTCAGTGTTGCTAACACATTCTCCATTAAAATCTCTCACTTTTCTCAAACATATCTTTAACGGTTGATGTGTTTTGTTTATTGCATGTATTTTTTTTCGTCCAGTTTTTAGCTCTTACCTTTTTTACGAAATCTTTTATTAATTTGGTTCCGTTTCAGTCAACGTCTGGAGTGAGCGTTAATCCTGATGTCCAGCGGTTATTCCAACGTCTTTCGGATAGCAAGGAATACAGATATATTCTTTTCAAAATAGAAGTTCGCACTTTATTTTCAAATTTCTTTTTTTTCCCCTTCATTTCATGGAAATGATTTGTGAAACATTGTTTGTGCAAACTATTCAGGTAAGTGTGTTGTCACACCTAAAAATACGTATTCTTAAGAAACTAAACAAACGCTGACAAAAGTCCAGTGGTTACCGCTGTGGGAGCTGATATAAGCAAATAACTTTTATAAATGTAGATTTTTCTTGGTATGCTTTGATGCATTTGCAAAGAGACGATGATGAGTACGAAGAAGGAAAAATTTTTATTGCAAACGTCCAGCCAAGTTGTGCAACACTAGAGAAAGAGATAGGATAATGTAGGGGATCTTCCAATTATGGACAATATTTTCTCGTATACTCTTATTTTGAACCAAAACATAATAGATAAACTGTATACCTAACTTATTTCACTTTCTGCAGGATCGTGAAGTGGTTGTTGAAGCTGCGGTAGCTCAAGATGAATTAGATCTTACCGTGGATGATTACGAAACAAATTCGAAAGAGGCATTTGGGCGATTCATAGAAGACTTGAGAGAAAGGACGAATAATTTCAAGGATTGCCGATATGCAGTTTTTGATTTCAAATTTACGTGCTCGAGAGTTGGTGCAGGGACTTCGAAAATGGACAAAATTGTCTTCCTTCAAATGTTAGTTTTATAACATTATCTAAATTGTCCATATTCATTTTATTTGCTCGACGTTGAAAAATAGGAATGAATGATGTTTTATGGAATTTTTTTGTCTTTACATGTGAACTTCTAATTCAATCAATTACAGATGCCCTGATGGCGCATCAATTAAGAAGAAAATGGTTTATGCCTCGTCAGCATCAGCAATTAAAGCATCACTTGGTACTGAGAAAATCATTCAATTCCAGGTACTTCTGATATTTATCATGATTATATATTCCATTTTTTTTTCGGCAAGCAAATTATAATTCATTACGTTTCCAAGAAGGAAGAGGAATTAGATTCTGATTATGGTTATTTTTTTATCCGCTATTTTCTTTGATTAATTTCCATCCTGAAAAACTTTTTTTTATTTGGTTGGAAAAGCAGTCAAGAGACATCCAATCAGACATATCTTTTAATATTAAAATTAGAGGAAATCTATGGAAATCTATGGTATTTGTGAAATTGAATTAAAACATGATAAATTAGCGACTTAGTTGTACAAAACAAATTATAAGGGATAGTTTTTATTTTTTTTTTTATCCTTCTTTGAAAATGGCCGTATTCTGTTATTTGTTTTACAACCTTAGTTTTGATGATTCGGTGATGCATGATAATATTCTTCAGGTATCCGATGAATCCGAAATGTCGCATAGAGAGCTCATTTTAAAGCTTACTGAGAAATATGGTGATCGATAATTACTTTAACTAAAAGTTTGGTTCCTTACTTCATGCTATACCAGTGACAAAATTAATATTGCATTTCATTTAATATGTTAACATCGAGTGTCTTTTGTCTCATCCTAACCCAAAAATTAACATTGTGAGAAATAACCTTCAAAATTTGTATTTTGGTAAAAAATTACTCGTCTTTGAATTATATTCTTTAAAATTTTCGAATTTTCATGTTGCCTTCTGGGACGAAAAATAGGATAGCTTAATTACCAGCAGCGATAGTAGACGTCATATTTACTGATTTTTTAGTCATCGTTTTTGGTTTATGTCACGATGATGCTTTATGATTGTGGTATTTTTGTCTCTAAGCTTTTGCTCAAAAGAAGTCACCAGTGTTTTTCAAATTCCGCTGATATATCATTTACTACCGTGCTGCAGTTTTCAGTTCGTTCAATAGGCTATTTACATTTTGTTTATAGGAACAAAATTTTTTCGTCCAGAGTGGTTTTATGGCCAACCAACTTTTTGCGAATATCACTTTTCATCGTCTTTTAATAAAGTTTTACCAAATTTGTCAGAGAATCTTGAAAGAAATTCTGGATTGATCGATGGCGGAGTAGTGGCTGTGGTGAATTATTGATGAGAGAAGGAAGGCATTGAGAGGTAGTTCTATCTTTGTAATCCTTGGAACTATATGAAATTAATTTAAGAATTTGCGTTTGCTGAAGTTCTGCAGTAATTATGAAAGAAAATTTTGAGCTCTTACGAGTTTTTTTGAGTAGGAAATAAAATTTTTACTTAATTTTCTTTCACTAATTTGACTGCACATTAACATATTTATTGATTGTGCTTACTTTTTCAGTAGTGTTATTCGTTTTTATCTTTTCACCTTGTTTGCAGTGTGTGGTTTATTCATTTTTCATTGTTTAAATTAAACTCAACTCCGTCGATAAAAAAATAATATCTTTTTCTAATGATTTAAACAAAATCTGCCAACAACAGTAACATGCAAAAAGATAAGAAGCTAAAATAAAAGTCGTACATGCATGTTGGATGATGGTGAGATTGATAATTCTCGGCAGCTTTATCAGCATTCTTCCATTCAAAATATAAGAATAGTTTTCCCATCTCGCAAAGCAATTCATATGTTTTAATTGCTTTTTTGTAATTTTTGAGTGAATCAGTTTAGTTGGTTTTGTATTTCTTATCCGGAATGGTATGCTCCTTTTTTCTCTTGCAGTAAATATAATATATTCGCGAGTGAAGATGTTGGGGATTTTACGACCTGTAAGGTTATCAGCAAATATTGGGATCTATTTATTGATAATGGGTAAAAGAGCAGTAGAAAACGATAATCCGTTTCCGGAAATTACTCTACTCTGGAAAAAATGTAGTCAAACATTGCAGTAAAAATGCATTGGATTAAAATGTTTGTAATACAGTGTCTTGGTTCTTCACTTTTCTTTTCTAGCGGTGCTTTGCAATGAGTATTTTTCAAAGTGTTGAGTAGAATGCTGTGATGCATTTCCATCTGCCCATTTCTGTATGTTCATGGAATTAAATAATCTCTAATTTTATCCTTAGCTTCCTATAATAGTGTAAAATTAGACCTCGTTTGTTTCTTTTTACAGGCATCAGGTGTAAAAGTAGATGCAGGTTGCAAAAAAGCCTATGATGAATTGCACCAGAAGCACCAGCATTCTTACATAATATTTCGAATTTCGGATGATGATACAACAATTATCGTTGATAAAATTGGCAACAAGAATGCACCGTATTCCGAATTTGTTGAGGTCATCCGTATTTTCTGTAAATTGTTATTAAGTTGAACAGTTAATCTCATGATATTTTATCGTAAACTTTCTTTAAAAACTGTTAACTCTAGGTTTCTCATATTGTAGATCCACTAGAAAGGAATCTCTTGCAGCATGTCCAGTGCTTAGAAAAAATCAAAACCAAAGAAATCTACCAATCAACAATTTATGTTCAAGCATTGAGATCTTTTGACTTCTTTATGTCTCTCTTTTTTAATCGTAGATCTTCATTTGCATTTGCTCTTACATCTCCTTTATCTGCCTGCAGTATTTATTTATGCTAGAAAATTTATCAGTAAATCAGAGACCTTGAATTTCAGGAAATTCGAAAAAGCGTAGGTGATGGTAAGGAATGCCGTTATGCTGCAGTAGATGTTGAAGTGCAAGTACAACGGCAAGGTACAGATGCTGCATCGCGGCTTACTAAAGTTGTTTTCGTGCAATAGTAAGTTACTAACTATCATCCGTCGCAATGTTATCTAAAGTAAAAGATAACTGATAGTTAATGTCTTCAGTAGTTTTCTATCCCACTTCATGAGTGGATGCTTGAATGTCACAGTTTTGTTTTCGATTTCCTGGGGAAGAGAGGGTCAGAGAGAAATGATCAACTTATAAGGATTTAAAAAGTAAGTCTAATCCTGCTAAATAAGGGAGGTTTGTTAAGGACAGGAACCTGATTCTGCTTTAGAGAGACTTTAGAAATGGTTAAATTTGCCACATTTTTTACGTTGGCATCGTTAACACTCATCATTAGATATTTGAGAATTCATGAATTTACGTGTGGAACTCTCTTCTGGTATTTTGTCGTATGTATGTAGTTATTGAGTATTATTCATATGGTTTTTTTTATTTTTATAATCTTTTTAGTTTCACTATTGCAGCTGTCCAGATGAAGCACCGGTACGTAGACGTATGTTATATGCATCTTCGGTTCGTGCTTTGAAAGCTACATTGGGCTTGGAGAGTTTAATGCAAGTGCAAGCAAGCGATATCTCAGATATCGATGAGAAAGCAATCAAGCATGAATTGATGAGCCACCAGCGTACTTGAACAAATACTCTACGAACTTTGCGACTGCTGGTGTATGCGTTGCTATCTTGACATTACTTTTCTTTGTTTACTGTCACTCAACTTTATTATAATTGGCCAAGCATCCCATTCAATTTTATGCAAATTTTATTTATTTTTTCTTATCACTTTATCTAACAATTGTAACATGGAGATGTATTTTTAATTTTACTGCACATTGCCAAATGATGTATGTTTTTTGCTTTTGCAAAATGCAATAGAAATAAACAATTTTTAAAGTTTCTTTTTCCAAGGCTACTTTCATGTCGATGTTGTACAGACACGTTTCAAGATTGAGATAAATGAGTGCATTTCTGTTCCTTCTTTTTAGAAAATTTTGTTGGATTTTTTTCTTCTTTTCTATCCAGGAAAACTTTTTAAGAAATGTAAGATTCTGAGAAAGGGAAAGAATCTTTTTTGAAGATGATTGTACACTCTCTTTTAATACCGAAAAACATTAGGGAAGATAATTTTCGGAAAGAAATTTCTAGAAAATAATTTAAAATGATTTGATAAAACCTCGATTTCCTATCGTCATTTTTGCGGTGTAAATTTTGCCTGTTTTGTCAGATGTGTCAGGAATTTGTCTAACAAAAAGTAACCACCTCTTTTCATTGGCTACGTTAGTCATGAATACGTCAAAATAAATTTACGGATCTATGCCTTCACCTCGAATTAGCAGCTGTTGGACAAAAGTGCCATCATTATCGGTTTTAACCTCACTAACTCTATAATCAATTGTGCCATCATGTATACCCATTTAATTAGTTCTTTTCATTTGATCAATGATTTCTATTTTCTCCTTCCATGGATACCGATCAATAACAATCAGTGTTAGAAGCTGTGAATTCTTCATAGAAAAGAAGTGATATAAATGAAGATCAATTTTCAGTGATTTATTGCCGATATCTGTCAATATTTGTTTGCAAAAATATTACAACTAAAAAGTAAAGAAAATTTATAGACTTTGGAAGTTTCGGAAGAAAGAATCAATCAATAAATGTATGAATCAAGAAGAGTCGATGCTTGTCTCTTGATCCTTGGCAAAGGCTTTCTTGCATCATTTGATGAGCATTTTCAAATGAGCTTTTATTATCAAGTGCTTCCAATATATATTCATTTTTTTGATTTTTATAATATGACTGATCACATTGAACACTTAGTAGTGTAACAATGATGGTGACGCGTAAAGTTGCAAATATAACTGAGAAGAAAGAAGTTCAAAATAAATTTTAGTCAGTATTTATTATTTAGTTTTCAGCTGTTCATCTTGCCTGTCAAACTTGATGATGATCCTGCCAATAATGTGACAATGTAAGTTATTGAATTGGAGGTATGGATGACCTACTTCAATTCTAGATACTATCATCCGTGATCAGAGGGTCAATTAAGCTGCGCTATCTGTTCCCTTTTTTTATTTATGCGCTTCTTTCTTAAACTTTAAATGAGCATTCATGAAATCTGACCACAATTCTGAATGGCAATTGTAGCGGTGGTTCGCCCTTTCTGTGCACCGTATCCTTCTAGAATACCATACGATTCTAAGCGATCGAGCGTATCGAAGCCATCTATCAAATTACCAAATGCGACATGATAGTCGTCCAACCTGCGATAAAATATTTCTTAAAAAACGATTAATTCTAATCTTGGAAAACTAAAGAATTATTTGCTACTTTCTTTGCAAAGATCGCGCGCGGCAAAATAAGCATTAAAAGGCGAAATCGACAGAACTTCTTCGTTGCATATTTTAACAGAAAAATTGCAATTGCTGTAAATGAAATGCAGAAAATTTTTGGAGATTTACCATGGAGCTTCATCGAATGTAACGAAGAAGCGCGAACTAACAGTATCCGGCCATCCATAGTTATCCATTGATAGTACTCCGCGACTATCATGTTTTAGAATGAAATTTTCATCTTCGAAATATTTTTCACCGAATATCGAGCGTCCACCACTTCGATCAGTATTGTTTGTTTCAAAGTCACCACTCTGCAACAGATTTATTCATTAGAATTTTAAAATAGAAAGATGTGAAATTTTTTTCGATTTTTAATATTCTCAGCAGTTCTGACTTCTATCTTTCCACCTCAGATTATATCTATATGGATGAATGGAACTATTAAATGAAGTGAATCACTTTAATCTTCAAAATAACTTACGCATGCACAAAATCCAGGAATAACACGATAGAAAAGGCAACCCTTGTAGCCGAATCCTTTTTCACCAGTGCAGAGTGCTCGAAAATTTTCACAAGTCTTTGGACAGATATCATCTCTCAACTTGAAAAACAAGATGAAATAAGTTAGATTGAATTTTATTTATTACACATTTACTTGTAAATGGAAAAGAAAGAAGTAGTTAATTTGATTGATTTTCATCCAATTCTCTCATAACTTTGAAAATCGAAATGACGAAAAAATGGATGGAAATATTATTATCAGAAATCGAATAATGCAACCTGAAAAGTAAGTCTTCCGATTGAAATCCCTTCAGCGGTTAAATCCAAGAAGATTCGAATTGGAGCAGTTGATGACATAATACCCGCTGCCTGCTGCAATATGGCATTTTTTTCAATTCCTCATCTATATATAGATATAGATTTTCCCTTGTAATGAGGCCAATTTTGAGGTATCTTCCACATATATTACTTCATTTTTGCTCCAATCATTTTCTCCCTTTTCCCTTAAATATCAGTCAGTTTCTTCACTCTATTCTAGGCGCAACGAAACAAACGCCTTCGCCCAATCTAGCAGTTCAATATTACAGTACTCTGATTCAATTTTTCTATTTGCCCTCTAAAACATTAACTTTTTTCTCCTCTCCTGAGAAAAGGATCGAATTTTATATTATCATTATCGTCCACATTTTATTTACTTTCATAACCCATATTACGTAAGATATATGCAGTGGATGATTTGACCCCCCAATGACCATTACCAAAGACTCCTACATACTCTTATGAATGGCGGCATATGGTTAATAGCAAAAGGTGAACAATGTCCAATTATTCATTTGCTCCTCTTTCCAAGGTAGATAAGGATTCCTAAGGATTTATTCCTTTATTCATTTTAATTCATCACCCAATCAACAGTCTTTAATTTTGTTACAGTTAAGTTTATAACTTGGAAGAGTTGATGTAGGCTATCTTACACATAAACAACTTACAGCTTTTTCATCTGTTTTGGTTTATTATTGCTGGAACGAATGACTGTTGAAAGATAACTGGTTATTTTTTTGAATTCTTCCAGTTGATAGTCATTGCTGAAAGCCGAAAGTCAAGAACTCTTTATTGTTAGAATATTTTTAGCTATTTCATTCCAATTCAGTTTTCGATGTCAAGCTGATTAGCAATAAGAAAATTGAAAAAAAAAGTTCAGGCTGGTTGATGAAAGAAGTGATGAAGGTCGTCGGCAGAAAGCAATTTGATGAACATCTGGAGATAATTACTGGAAAAATAAACGCCCTTCGCAAATCTCTGAGTAAGAGTGAGAATGCCTGTTTATCGATAATTTCGGGAAAAAGATCGAGACGGAATAGTTTTCTTGAAGTGAAGTTTGTTTTCTTTATCATTTTTCCCAAGATCATCGACTTTAGTGTGAATTGCATGGATATGTTGCGTTCCTATTACATTCAAATTGATTTCTTTTCATTTTAACATGCATCATTTAACTCAAGCAATAACCAATGAGATTGGGAGGTTACAATTTTCAATTCTTGTAACATTTTAAGAAAATGTAATGGCCCGATAATAAAAAATCGTAATGATAACAAAGAGTATATAAAAGTTGTAAAATGAAATAGAGCTTGTCCCGATCGTTGACAACTTGATAATAACCTTAAAATTTACAGACTGCTGCTTCCGTTAAGTCCTGATACTTCTTTTCTCTTTGAATTTATGGATTTCGTTTAATTTGAACTTTCAAATTCAGTAATCAAATTTGATGAATATTTCTGCTGGTTAGAGATAATATGTTGGAAGGTCACAACATCCACAAAATTCGTAGTTCAGGGCGAAAATTCACGACATGTTTTGGAGCACAGTATATCACCGCGGTCATCGCTATGATGTTCGTGCTGCCGATCGAGAGGCCATTCAGGTGGAGCAAAAGGCTGTGAGATCATCTTGTGATAATACTGTTACTACTTTCACTGGTACTGCCATTCGTCGACAGAACTTTGGGGAAAAAAGTTCCATCAAAGCAAAAAGCAAATAAAACAAGGACTCCCTCAATCAATTAACTGATGATGAAAACTGCTGAATGTTCTGATGATACCAATTTAAGATGTGCGAAAGATGATTTGCAGTGGTTCCAGAAAATTTTTCTAGAACTTTCACTTCTAGAAAAATTTCAATTCTTTGTTCCTTCAATCATATCATAAATCAGTATTACTTGTTTTCTTGATAACATTTTCATCCAATCACTATGGAAAACAATTTAGAACTTGAGCGATCTTAACAATCGGAAACTGTAATAGCTAATCTTAGCAACGGCTTCGTTGTAAAGTTGTTTTTGGCAAAATAATTAACTGAAGAAATGTGCATTATGAATTATATATTCCTTATTTGCATTTCTTGTATCCTGTGATTTTGATATATTTCTCTGTTATTTTTTCATATTTTAATTGGTTACTTGCATTTTTCGCTGTAATTTCACATTGTAATTTCACCTATAATCTTCTCATATATTACCAATGCATTTAATGGAAATAGAAATCATACCGATTTTGCACTAAAACAACTTCACCAAATGCTGTCCATCATTTCCAATATACTTTAAATTTCATCGCAGAGAAGTCTCGACCGTAAAGCATCTGGCGTCTATTACTATTTAACATTTCTTTTTACAAGCACTGTAAAGCATAGATCACTTTTCCTGTATACCAATCTTTATCCGTCCCATGGTTATACTGTTGTCAGATTGGCAAATTATGGACAGAAATCTAAAGAGAAATAACGTGTAAGACAATCATTCTGCACTTCAGTCACAAATTGAATCATTCCGCATTAGTGCAACTGTGAAACGCTGCTTCCGCAATATCTTTTGTATTCCTCTTAGCACCTATCCATTAAATATGATGTTCATTAGGACTCATTCTTGATGAACAATTCATTACCTAAAAAAAGCGATAGTAAATTCTTGGGTTACCGAAATCAATTACTAATGCGTTTAGAAGAGATGTCGAAATAATATTCCAAATATATAGCATCTTTTTATTTCATAACAGAGGACTTACAGTGACGATCATACGATTTTTCTACAATATCATTCCAAATTGTCTTGCACATCCATAGACAAACGTATTAATTCTTTCGGTTGCGAGAAATTTCCGGGGACGAATTTTGCAGACATCACCACGTATTTGAGCTTCCAAACTTCTGCATTACAGCTTAAAAAATCCAACTGTAGACTATCACAGAACTACTGACTTAGTTACATGCCAAAGTGATCTGTCCTCCCACTGATTTTCTTGTCTTTTGTTATAAAGAGCAATGAATTTTTTTTCCAGTTGATGAACTTTCAGTAATCGGTCGACAAAATTATTTAATGCGAACATCACATCCAGAATGAATAGAAATGCTTATCACTGAACTTATTTGCCTTATTAACCAATAACTACCTGTCTTATACATGTCTATAGCAGGAATTGATGCCAAAATGAGCAAATTCCGGATTCATGAAGGTGCTAAGTTTGATAAGAAACTTCATTAAATCACTGCTTTGGCAGCCTTAAAGAATTTCGTTATAACTGTTACGCGAAAGGATAATTCTTGCTTCCGACTTTTTAGGACTGTCATTTCTCCATCCATGTAAAAATTGTTGCAGAAACATCATTTTACTATCTGCTTTACTGATTCATATGCAATAGTTTGGCTCCCCTATCATCACTGTTTAGGTCGAGGAAAGAGAAACCGGAAAGTGAGTAGATTCGAGAATATTCCTCCTTCTTCATGGCGCTTGCAAAGATATCCCCGTACTAATATTTTCATTCTTTCAGATTATCTTTCATCAAAATAAATTTATACGAGCTGAGTTTGCTTGTTTAATGCATAATAATTTTCCAAAACTGGATTATTTCATGAGATCCCACAAACTTTCGACTTTTTGAAAACATTGGACATTAGACATCCATAGACATTAGCGCCGGAAATGCAACATAACAATGAATTTTTGACGAGCGATGTTAGAGAAATGAGGTTTTGAAGAATAGAATAAGTAATGTCACATGAAGGAAAGAATTATGAAGTTCCTTTAATTGGCTGCTTCATCAGATTTAAAGCTCAAAACATTTCCGTGAGTGTTTTAATATTATCGGAAGTAAAAAAAAAAAACAAATTAACTTCCAAAATAAATATTTAATTGTTATCTCGTGGCCATTCACTATTTTACGTTTTCTATTGGCACAAATTAAGAGATTAGTTATAATTGGCACAAAAAAGCTTTACTTCGTTTATAGTGAGACAGGTTCCAGGTAGATCTCTTTCAAACAAGTCTTCTGTAGCAACGATAGAGAGAGATAGGCAGGAAATAATGATGAAGTTTTGAAAAGAAATTTTTTGATCAAGCGAAAAACAATCGAACTTGGCGATGCCTTAATGATGATCCTCCACATCTTCAATATTCTCGGATACGTCGAAACACAGCCAACAGTACTAACTTTGCGTTCACATGACGTGATTCAATTTTACTTCCTATAGCAATTTATTTGTGTCATTCCTAGGTATGAGAATTACATTTCGCCAAAAAACATTTGTTGGATCCACACATTCTAATAATCAGTATCTCGTTAGAAACTTTGTTTAATGACCTCGAATAAATCGTAGCGAGGTGAAATGGTTCATATTCATTTATTACGACTTTAAAATTCAGGCGGAGAAAAGTGTTAAATCTATTATGTAAAAGATTTAAGGCAACTGAAGATAATCATACTAAAAATTCAGTAGTTTTTTTAAATATGGCCAGTTTTTTGGTAATGAATATAATAGATGTAGGCTTAGATGACAATCTTGTTTTTAAAATTAGTAACAAATCCAACTTGTCGATAAATCAGATTTTTTTGTTGTGATAGGTTCATTATTTTCATGGAGCTTAAAGATGACGATCGCCTTTTTCAACAATAAATTCAGAATCTTTCATTTGCTCGAATCTTTTATCAAGAACTTTCAGTATAAATTGCATTGCTCACGATATCTGTGCATTGGATCACACCATGTTTTTTGTTCATAATAGATTAAGTCCTCTTGAGAATTGGATATTTCAAACACATACATGTCAAGTGAACATTTCATTGCTAAAGGCTAATTCTCCTTAATTTTGCGTTATTATTAAAGACTTTCCTCCCAATACATCACTTTTCGGTCAAAATTATATTTAAGATTTTTGAATCAAAATTTTTGGATGAGAACTGAGAAGTTAGTTAATTTGTGGTGAATGAGAGTTGCAATTCTACGAAGAAAAAGATATGAAGAAGAGTGCGTAAAAAATCACTAATGAATAAAAAGTTCATGACAAATTAAAAATTATAGCACTCAAAAGTGTGCTGGCGCATCATCTGCTCATCTCATTGACCTTCCCTTGCCGTGCTGCCATTCAGATCATCACAGCTGCTTTCCTTGCTATCTTTCAACTACCTGAACTCTATTGCGATCAGTTTGCTCTTAGTTCACTTAACTCTCTCTTCTTGAGATATCGTTCAATTAGATCAATTAATGAGTTACGTTATTTTTTTTAGATAATTAACTCTTATACCATTCATTGCAATTAACAATAAGTTACAATTTTGCATACTATAATATGACACCTGAAAATTACTGTCTACTAATTATTGTCTGTTCTTTCCACCTCTTCGAAACTGGAAAAAGTGACCACTTGGAATTGTCAACGTACTCACCAGTAACCGATTCTCAACTCCATGTGTCTTTGTCTAATGACCATATGCAAATTACAAGCGCTGGAACTCCAATTGTAATGGAAACCGGACCAGACAATCTACGACTACAGAAAATTGATCATCATGCAGCTGGAATATATTTCCGAATCAGTCAAAAGGTTGACATGAAATCATTTAATGTCAAATGAATCTTTTAATGTTAATGTCAAACGTTATTATTTCTTCATGTTCATAAATTTTAATCAGAATTCACTGGCAGAAGAAAAACTTTACTTGCTGTACTTCTTTAATTCAAATTATATAGGAAAGTAAGTAAACAAATTTAATACAATTACATCATAATATTATTATTCGGTCCGTTTCTCAACTCATAACTTGAATTGACATTCTTTTTTAATAAAATTATCATCTAATTGAAAAATTAGTAGAGCTTATTTTTAGGGTGTGGATTACATCACAGATTTGGCTACCGAGGCATTACCACAGTTGCTTGAAAAATCCGAAATGCCAACTATTGAGCAGCCACAAATAAAAATTTCACATTTAACTGTCGATAAATTTAGTAATCCGACGATAAAGGCTAAATTTCTTAACAATATTGGTAAGTAAACTTTCTATTCCTGTCTTTCATAAACTTTGTCAACCTCACTGCTAACTTCTCTTCTAAAAGTCTTTCGAGAAACTGATCCATTTTCAAGCTATCCAAAGTTATTTTACTGCTAATACTTAGAATTACTAAAAAAAATTATAAATCTGAACTTAACCAACAGTGTCTACTGTTAAGTGGAAAGACCAGAATTTAGCTGAGTTTAAAAAGCCATAAACGATCAGTGGCTTTCAGTTGCTTTCACGGATAATAAATTATTTTCTGCAGCAATAATATATCATTATTAATTTGCAATGTGTGACCCTTAATTACACTCTTTTCTCAATTACTCTTGTTGTTATCTGACAATTAAGATATCTGAATACAGATTGATCCCTCTTTCATAATAGGGCTATTTAGGTTTCTCTGGAATGTTCATTTCTCTTTAACAATAAATAACAATAATAATAATAGTATGTTGATCACAGTTCCTTAAGTAGACAGCGTATTCACAGAGATACCCTTTAAAGAACAATAACTGAGTCAAGCTGCTGCCAAAATAGTTTCACAGATGATTGTCCTAAAAGGTAGTATCTTCTATTATCTTTTCCAAACTTCCATTTTTCATTTTTCATATTCAATGTACCGAATATGTCAAAGCAAAAAATAGCTAACTGTATTTAAAAAACTTTGTAGGCATTGGGGCATATGTATTCTTACCGCACGTGATGCTTAACGCGATCTACGACGCCTCTACCTTCTTCAGCACGCATAAAGGGAAATTAAAGGCTGACGTGCAGAATTTAAGTGTCACTATGGAAGTACACATCAGTCGAAATGAAAGCGAAAGATTGAACATTATTGAGGTCAGGTTTTCACTTTTTCTTAACTGGAAGCAGCATTGATTGCTCATTGCCATCCTAACAGAAAAGGAATCTGGATTGTTCGAAGCGTCCATCTCTGTTAAACAAGTGACAGCCATAATTATCGTTATATCCATCAATACTTTTGTCCGGATCCCATGGTTATCGTAATGCTCTTTTGTTACTTCTTACTTTCTGCTTACTAAATATAATTTTTTATAGACACCTATATGCAATGTCACATCTGATCTTGTAAGGATTGTTTTCGCTGGTGATATGTCGACGTATCTAAACTTGCTGAGGTATGGGACTCATTTCCCAACATGCTCTGTTGTAATTGGCCAAATTTTTAATTTACCAGTTTATTAGCTCTTTACTGGTTAGTTTAATTCAGCACGCCATTTCTGAAAAAGTAAGATAGCAGAAATTAATAATCAATAATTTCACTAAATATTACAATTTACAAGCAGATCAATAATTGAACAAGCAGTAACCGATGTTCTTGGGAGCGAACTTTGCCAACTTGCAATAAAAATAGGACAGTTTTTCGAGAAACAAAAACAACAGGTTGCTTTCATCTCATTCTACAAGAAACTACTGCAGATTTCATATACGGTTTTTCTAAATTAAGATTTTGATGACTACGCCTATTCCACTATCGATGCAATCATCAACGTCAACGCCTACACATTTATTGAAATTCGGCGAATTACATCAACCAGTTAATTCGAAACTAGTAGAAAGTGTTGAAGATGAAAATGCCTTCTATGAAACATCCAATGAAAAGGTATGAATGAAATGAATGTCTCCATTAGTTTTATAAATTTGCTAATATTTGTTATAATTTGTAAAATTGTTGGTCTAAATTTCTGTTAGTTGTCATAAGCTTTCCGGATGCCTCCAGAATGCCATATGTTCAGTAAACAAACTACATTCAAATTATAGTGGTTCGAAAAAGTAAACCTACGAATTGGCAACAGTGTCAATATAGCATACAAAATAAATATCGTTTATACGGGTTCTATAACAATAAGAACGTTCAAAAAACAATTCAAAATTGTTTTGCCTTTATAGATAGAAGATGACGAGGATTTAGCAGCAAAATTTGCAGCTGATTTATGTGCTGAAGACCGGATCGACATGAATGTAATGGCATACTCGGGAGATGAGATTTATTTGCGAAGGAGACGTGACCTCTATTTTGATACGACTCCTGAAAATCAACGTTTCAATCCACTGTTGAAAGATGGTCTCTGGGCACCCGACTTGACCTTACTTTACCCGCCGAAGTTCTCGGATGAGGTAGCATGTAAATTATTCTTTTTTTTCTTGATTAGCAGAGTTTTAGAAGATCTTTCAACAATTCTCTGGAATTGTGACCTACCGACACTTATCCATATATAGAAGCAACTTTCGAATAGTGTGAAATATCGACAACATTTGCAGTATGGTAATAAAGCAATACGGTAATGTATGAATTCTTATTTGCTAGGATGTGATATTCGGGCTCGATGCGGGCATTGTATTTTTTGGACGAAAGGCTAAAAATGTCAATCGATCAAATATGCTCAATATATCAGCTTTTGGTGATCAAGTTCGTCAATTGCTTACTTATCCAACTGGATTGACACAGTTAATTAAAAATAGCAAGAATATGACGCTTGGAAAACTTGTCTTTCCTTCTGTTACAATCTGCTTAATGAATGTGGAATTATGTATGTGAGATGCATTCTGGGAAATGACCTCCCGGTCATTTAATTACTTACAACTTCTTGATTTTCTCCTTTTGATCTTTTTTGTTTAGATGTTTGGCATGATTGTCAGCGAATATGTACCCAACACATTCTTTGCACATGTTTACGACGAAAATATGGGAGTGTTACGGGAAACATTCCGTACTCATAATTTGCCGAAATTTATAAAGCCGATAGCTAAGTTGCTTTGTGCTCGTTGTGAGCTTCAATTTATTGCTAATCTAACTAGGTGAGATCATCTCAAAATCTTATTTGCTTCAATTAGTAGTTTTTGATTTTGAAATGCAAAGTTATCTTTGCAAAGACAATTTGAAGATTGTTTAATGTTGATCCACTTTTCGGATTAATGCCTGATTTTGAGCTAATGAACTGATTTCAATAAGTATGTTATGTCAAGTTCAACAGTAATAATAATATTTATGGTTTCCCATTGTACTAATTGAATGGAATTTATTTTATGGCAAGAGTTTTTCTCTTCCTGTACAAATAAGTTTCCAAGCTGTTCTAGACGACCACATCTCATTATTAGTGAACAAGGTGTTAAAATTGATCTTCAATTTGATTTGTTGATTTTATTCATCGGCAAAACACGGAGGCATAATATTATCAATGCGAACACTGAACTTGATGTAACGGTAGGTTGATTTACTTTAAAATTTTTAAGCCAAAAAATATTTAATTTGAGAATAATTTCTGGTTTAAATAAAATTAAAATATGAAGTTGGTTGGTATTCCACGATTCTCACAGGTATATGTAGTAACTATATGGGATTACTTTGAGATAGAATCCCATATTATTTTCATGTTGTCCAGTAAAATGATCAGTAGTAGGGAAAACAGTAGGGTTAGGTCAATCAAATTCTAGGATGAATCCTTCTGTTGACATTCGTCTCAGTGAAGATTTCGTAGTTACTCTATTCAACCGTATCGTCCATAGCGTTCAGCAGAAAGCGGTAGCAAGGACAATAAAAAATATAACTTTATTTAGACTCTAAATTAGGCGATTAACACAGCAGTAAACCTCTTCCACATAATATTTAACTATGTTAAGGTTCGTCCATATCTCAGACACAGCCGCTTGTATGGTGATGTCTCATTGACCGGTGTGGACATTAAGATAAAGGAGGTTTGTTTTTTCAGGAAAAATGAATTTGATTACTTAATCGTTTCTCATGAACGAAATATTTTCTTATTTCAATACCAACAAGGTAACCAACTACGCATGTAATATTTTCATTTTCATTTCATTCTTTTTCATATGGGAATTGGTGGAACATTTGCAAATACTATTCGTAAAGCATTGAATAGTGTGGTACCGAAGAAACTTTGGCCAAAAATAAAGAAGCGCCTACGATTTGCTTTCAATCAGCGAGGTGAAGTGATTCTCCAAATAATAACCAAAACTATAACCGATCCCATCCTAAAGTTCTATAGCTGCTCTATGCAGTCTTTAATTTGTGTTTTAAATTTTGCATAGGACCAATATCAAATTCCTCCTCAAAAATTTCATTTCAGGCATTAGGCTGCCAGTGATGTGCGGTGTCGAACTTGAAAGACCTTCACTAAGTTACATCGATCATGCTATCATAATCGATACCGATTTCAGGTTATTTCTTTGAACTTACCATTTATAGTCTTGTTCCCTTCAAAAAAGAAACTTCCAAGGAACTCTTCAGGAATATATGAGCTACGCAAAATGTAAATCTGTACTTTGCAGCTATGATTTACCGCGGTTCATCCGGAAATTTAAAGTGTACATTAATGCGGAGATCGCAAGAGCAAGGAAGAAAGAGCAGATGGAAGATGAGGAAGATTATTAATCCAGTTCAGATGATTTGAAATTACATGCTAAGCAACAGGAAAAATTTTAAATATATAAAATAAACATTTACTGCATTCATGAGTTAGAACAAATGATGCGAGTTCATTTTATGGATCCGTTGGGTCTATTGATGAAACTTGTACCTGATCTGCTACAAACTTATTATTACAATAGATAAACTTTGCAAAAGAATCAATTTGCAATCTGCGAGAAAATTTTGTTTGAGCTTGTAAAAAGCTCTCTCCCATCCGGAAAAACTACAGCTTCAGGAGGTTTTTTCGTGATCGCTACTTTTTCTTTGATTTTGAAATCAAATCATAACGGCTTTTCACGCCACAAATTCTGAATTGAACTAGAATTCGTACTCAGTCATTTACTCAGAATCAGAACATCGATAAGAGAAGGCAAGGCAATCAGGAAAAGATTGTATTAATTATTACGAACAAACCAAACAAACAAATTACCTACCGTATATTGTTCATTTGTTCCAATTTTTATGAAAATATCTCGAGAGTACAGTTGTGGAAGGGTAGTTAACAGTTGTCTCAATGTATGTGATTTGAATGATGGGATAGCTTCGAATTTCGGATCTAGCAAATGAAAATAGGTTTTCGGTTTAAAAATACAGGCCATTTTTGAAATTCGACGAGAGAGAGAGAATAAAAAAGTCAATACCACAAATGAACAATTTCCAAACTGTTGCGAATATCAGATTGTATTTTAAAGAGGACTGAGAAATTTTGAAAGTACAGTACTACCATTCTCATTTATATCTTTCCTCTTTAATTTGAATTTTAGCAAAGCCAAACCCAAGCATGTAATTGATAGTTGATAATTTGATTTTATTATGTAGAAATTGTACAAGCCTAAACAAGGATAAAACGCCAGTGATATCATCCGGCATTCAGTGATAGCTTTTTTTTGATCAATCTGAAAAGATATTCATTTTGAGAAACATTCTAAACTATTTCATTTTAATTTCTTTCGGCCATTTCTTCACGAAGTTAATCCATTATTGGCTACAGTATAGATAAGTGCTTATAATCAATAAACTATTTAATTGATATTTATAAACATAACATCGCTTTGCTACCATTTCATTTAAGGGTTTTATGAAGTTAGAATAGTTGCATATCAATTAAAATTGTAAATCGAATTTTGCAAAAACTCTTCTGCAAATTTAATATGCCACGATAAAATGATCTATGTAAATAGCTAGAAAACAGTTTAAAACTTACTTCCGACGTGTATTCTTGTACGGTAATTGTCAACACGATTCGGTTCTGATGGGCCGTACGATGCGCGAGATGATATCGGTGTTGTATATGTTTGTGAGTATCTGCAATTAATTATTAGCGCAAACAATATGATTTTGTATTGACAACAAAGCCTACACAAACAGAATCAGGAGAAAAATATTCTAAAATTACATTATTGTACTCCTAGAACGAATGATCCACTGTCAAATCTGACCCTCAGTTAGCTTTTGAGAGAAAAAAGTTTACTTGTCTCTAAGAAGAAACTGGATTCCGATATCGACAAGGAAGAGAACAGCGCATAAGAATAAAAAAGCCTGAAAAGAAATTGAGATTTACAAAGGCAATGTTATGAAACAAAGCTGCTTAAGTGCATACTACGTGGTAAGAGGAACTTCTTCAAGTCAGAAATAAATCAATTCATCCGATCGAAATGAATGTTTCAGTTATTTGGTTATTCGTGCTGCAAATGTTTTTCGTAAAATTTAATCTTTAAATCAGAAAGCTAGTGCCTAACATCTTATTTTCTTAAAATTCTTTAACCAATTATAACTAAGTAAGTTCGTTTTTTTTGATTAATTTTATCAGATTTCAAATAGTTTGCAACTGATCGCATCTTTAAATTGGAGGCCTATGTACAAAAAACTTAGTCTTTATAATTGCTCAATTTTGCATTGTCCTTGCAATCCTTGACTTTTATTTCTTGCAGAATGAATCGAATTAAAGAACTGATTTATCATTTTTATTAAGAAATTTATTTCTTTTGAATTAAGCAAATCTAAGCATTATAAAAACTTTGGAATAATAGGAATAAGTGAGGTAAATAAATAATTGCAAAGTGTTGCAAACCGCAGCAGCTGCCCATCCTTTGACGAGGAATAATATATAACAGTTCGGTAGATTCATACAACCACTGAATTGGCCACCACCGATTTGTCTAATTAGTGGTCCCATATGGCTGAAACCGGTTGCATACCACGTTTCCACACCTCCAAGAGCCAGAAAAACCAATATTGATACTGCCGACAAACATATTTGCTGCAAAAAAAAATTTCGGGAAATTTTCAAGCAAGAAAATCATGGTGATGTCATAATGATGCTGGTGATAATCACAATAATCTATCACTGCTACTTTATAAGAGGAAATAAGAGGTGAAGATTGCAGCACCATGTGGACGGTAAGGCCAAACGTATGTTACTCACTGCGGCACGTTTTTCGAGAGTGAGGGATACGTATGATTAGCTAGTGCACATAGATGAAAGCATCGATAAATTTAATAAAACTGCTTTGCTACAAATCGGCGGATCAAAGTTTACATTGCATCTATCCATCTTAACTCAATACCAGGCATGAACGCGTGATTTTATTTATTATCTCATCCACGATGAATAGGTCAGCTATTCAACCGAGATGGATAAACGAATAATAAGGAAGGAACATAGAATTGACAACGCTGAAAATGCCCAAATTGCAAACTTGCAAGAATTTTCGCATACATATAAATGGTCGTAACTTTGTTATCTGACTACTACAAATATTTTTTTGACTACCGGTAGTTATCACTAATTTTAAAGTTTTATTACCGTTCAGTGAGTTTACTAATTATTGTGATCTTTGAGATTGCCCAAATGAGGCATTAACTCACAACAGCTATTCATAGCCTTTTTACAGCTCAAAATATTCAAAGCTCACCAAATAAAATAGGGAGACACCGGTAGCGATCTGGAAACAGCTTAGTCCAAGTGGCGGTAAAGCAAACAGTATTGCAATTATGACGATTGCCAGTTGACCCCAAACACTGTAATATTAATAAAACATTTGAGCAACCCAATAGGATGGTGAATGATAAGAACTAGGACGATAGGGGTTGGATAACCTGAAATATTCAGACTAAAATATTGGATGCCTCAGTACGTTAGTGACGAAGTAATGGTACATATAATTGTTTTTGCTTTGAAAATTTCAATTGATTGTTAAAAAGTGAACTGTTTGAACTGAGTGAATAAATGAAGAAGAAGAAGAAAGTAGGAAAATAATTGAATTAAGTTTTAGTTAAAGGACTTCTGCAACGAGTAGTTTTTTAAATAAAATTTATTAATGTTTGAACATCAGAAAACGATAGTTCGAGTTTAAAATTTTCAAATCCAACATTGTTTCTCAAGATTGGTTCTAGTTTCTCAAGAAATCAAATACTAATTTTTTTAATTCAAGCTTTTATATTCATATTCCGATTTTTTCTACTGAGGCCATTAATATATCTTAATCGCCAACTATGGCTGGTTGATTCCGGATAGTAAGCAGTTTTAGCGAAAACCGTTCCATAACTATAAATATTGCATAAGTGAGGTGCCAGCACCCAAGCACGCGTTGGACTGAAGAATGGGAAAACAAAAATTATGTGTTTTAGATAAATCGAAATTCAGAAAGAGAAAGCACTACTGGACAAATAGGTAATTGGCCATGTAGCTGACTAAATACTAGTAATTTTGTATATCACTTTGCTCGTAACTAAAAGCATGAAAATGGATAAGTTAGAGATATAAGACGTAGCTCCGGATACAGCGAGCTTTTTTATTTCGAAATTTAACTATGTTCCTCCAGAATGATCTATACAGGGAAACGGTATTAAATGCGTGGGATGGATCGATTTTAACCATTCAAAGGGGTAAATTTAAAACTACAAGCACATCCTGGATATATGCCTAATCAATGAAATCTTCAATTGTGAATGTTGCTATAGAAGGACAATTTGTTCGTGAAACCTCATTGTAGAAAAATATCGCTCCATCCCACATACACGATGCGGACAGTTGAGAACTGCGACCATGTTCGTGAGACTTCCGAAAAAATGTAATGTTCATGATGTCTTTCGACAAAAACCGGACTTACACAAACTCTCTTAGTACGAGATTTTAAGATTTTCATGAAGAGAAATAAAATGGGATTATAGACTAACGCTTTCTTCAATTGATGTTACGGAGCACAATTTACCTTAATCGGGAAAAAGCATAAAGAAATTTTTCATTTTAATAAATTTTGCAAAAATTTTACAAATCTGAGAAATGATACTTTTGTCCGCGATGTTGGAAATGTACACCGTTACTCCATCGATTGATACCCATGGGTAGAAAATTCTCACTTGGACAGATCTCATCAGTTGCTCGAATATCGTTAATGTATCGTGTGTAACAGACACCGGGTGCGGTAAAAATTAATATTACCGAAATGAACACAAGTAACTGAAACATTCACTGAAGTGTGGTACAAACAATAACACTTATAATATGATATTAGCAAAAAACAATGGACCAAACTTATTTAGCTCATAGCTCAGCGGACAACAAAGGTTATTGAGTTCATCATGTAAGATATGTAGTCTTACAGCTCTCGAAAAATTGCTTCATTGAAAGAATTAGGGAAATAAGTAAATTTAGAAATGAAAATTTTCTTCCTTAAAGACTTCAGATTTGATCTCTAATCAAATTGTAAAAATAGGAAGTGAATCTGAAGTTTTAATATTAACTTCGATTGAATCAATGAGCAGTGTAAGTCGTTCATTGTTCCTTTTCCGCTTAAAACAATTTTCATAGAGTGAAGAAGAAATTTCCTTGTAATCGATTTGTTATTATCAAAACAACATTTTGCGTAATAGAGGATAAATTCGTGCAAGTTTTATGAATTCGTGCTCTCCACGGAATGATTTGTTATTATTCATCACATCAACTGGTAAGAGTAGCGTTGAATGCAATTTACATTTTTCAAATTCACATATTCGTAATTCCTTCGCTTCCTCTTGTGTAACAACCATTCAATATAATGCTTTAATGCTTTAGTGTTGAACGATTCATTTACAAGAATTTTTTGTTGCCTAATTGAAATATGAAAATTATGCCTTTAACTTACTAATCAATTAGCAACCTATAAGTGCTAAGCGAAGGAACAACAAAGGAAACGTCAATGAAAGAAGTTAAACAAACAAAAATACGATAATGGGAAAACAAAATGACTGAAGCACATCAGAAAAATTTTACCGTGCAATAAAGGCTGCAAGCAATGCAACACAAGTTTGCTGAAATCATAATATAAGTAATATTGTTAATAAAATGAAATAATAGTTATAGCACTAACCAAAATGAACATTCTGATGAAGGCAGAAATACCAACAAACAGCGAATGTGGTACCATCACCTTTAATGAAAATTTTGAAATTTAGAAGAAAATTTTAATTCCTATTAAAACAATTAATTGGCGAATCGTCAGTTAATTATAGTATTTAGTAGCAGTTATTGTGGTGATCGCTAATAGAATTCACGTTACATAGCTAACGGTAAAAGGGAAGCATGAAATATCCTTTACAGAGGAAACAGTAGTGTACTTCATATGATCAGGATCCTATCCTAAATGATAAATCTTGAATTCAGGATAGAAGAAGTCAGTAGTACTTAAAATTGTATTTACTTTTAAACACGATATTATAATAGGAAGTGAAAATAAGCATTTCTTAAGATATTTCTAAAAAAGCATCCTTAAGCGATTCTAGCAAAATGATACTACTTTTAAAAAATATCTCTACTTTTTGAATATGGAAGTTTTCTGATTAAACGAAGTTATTATAATGTCCAATAAGTAGCATTGTTAGCCCAAAATTCATTGATGAGAAATGAAACTTAAAAAGCATATATTACAGAATAATTATATGTCAAAAGGTATGCTTATAGAGAAAATATATTAGCGTTAAATGAGAAAGAGGCGCAAATGTTGCCGATTTTAAATGATAATTTCGCAAAAACACGCACATTTATAGTATCTGTAAACTTGTTCTGAGGCAGCGAGCAGCACAACAAAAGCATTTTGTGCATAATATATATAGGAAAAGGCAAATGGAGTAGGGTGAGGTGGTATTACCGGTGGATGGATGGATGGATGGATGGATAGGTGGATGGATGGATCGTCTGTACGTCAACAACCACAACAGCGACCTCATCGTACTGTCTAGCAATAGAGACTTTTGAGCCGCCGTCACTCAACGAGGGACAAAACTAAACATATAATTAATAACAATAACAAATAACAAGTAATAAAAATAAATAATAAATAAATAAATAAGCAAATAAATAAATAATAAATAAATAATTAATAAATGAATAACTATTATTATTAGTAATAATGATAATAATTATTAATAATAACTAATAAAAACGGTAATAATAATAATAATAATAAGTAATTATTATTAGTAATAATGATAATAATAATTAATAATAATAATAAATAATAATTAGACGAAATAGAAGGTATTGGATGTTGTACATACTTGTCAACTTCACTTTTTTGATCCTTAACCGGTCCACTTTTATTTTCCCATCACTCACTATCATTGCACGGAAAGAGAAGAAAAACTGAGCAGCAATCAGAAACAATTCCGTTCACAATCCATTTCGAGAAAAAGTATATGTAAGGACTATTGCGCTATGATTACGCAAAGGTTGCTTTGATGTATTCAGTCGGAGACAAATCATATTATTATAATCCAAATGATTTAATTAGCATCAGCTTGGCGAATGGAATAAAATAAATGGTTAAACAACTTGCAAGAGTTTCTTCCGATAGACCGACAGCTTAAATCAGTTATTAAAACAACTTCTTCAATTCAATTATAGACGAAGGAAAAGTAATTGGAAATTGTCACAGTCCACGGCATTTCATATCTTGTAACAATGTATCATGAGGCTCAACCGTTCATCCTATAAATGCCTCTCATCTCTAATCAGGCATAATTAACACAGTTGTTACATTTGAAATAAATTAGATCAAAACAATACCATATTAGCATGCTGTGATGATTGCTTCCCATTTTTTTCTTTCCTGCAATGTTTGAAATTTCTTTTTTATGCCAAGACAGAAAGGAAAGAATTAAAAACGATCGGGAACATTTAATCAATAGGTTTACCTTACCTTCCATTTCTATCCTATTCTGTAGCACTCTTCAGTATGATAAGTTTTTTCAATTCCTGAAACGAACTCCACGAATCAATCCTTTCTATTAACGACAGGAAGGATTACACCATCTGTTGAAATGTCATTTTCAGAAATATCAAAAATATAGACGATTACGATTACAACAACTTCTTCTAAGTCCACGGCTTTATACAATCGCTAGCAAAACTTATGCTGTTGTCAACAATAGCTAAGGGAAAATTCGAAAAAAAATGTTCGTTTTGTGCATCAAATTATGATTGTACAGCCGAAAGTCAATAAAACATTGGATAAAAGGAAATATTCCGGAACTGTGATTCGACCACTTGACGCCACTATTGTTATTATTATTCATTTAATTTCAGTTCATTCCTATATTTCATATAAATTTTGCAATTCCTGATTCTTAGAAGTTATCGAAAAGTAAGGCTAACGAACAGTTGAGCGTGCCTATTCTATTCCAGGCAATATAGTAATTAAACGAGAAACAAGAGATGGATCCTATGCAGATAATGAAACAATAGATGAATTTCGCTGGATCAACAGATATAGTTGAAAGATTGAAAGGTAAAAATGAAGCATCTAAGGATCATTTCACCATATTTGAAATCATTGCTTGGATGTTTTATTAGCATTATGGGTATTTTTAACCTCTTTCTGGAAAAGGAACTGTAATCTTTTATTTTATTTTGATTTTTAATTTACCGATTCAAAAATTCGACAAACCTTCACGAATTCGAAAACAAACGAAATATAAAATTCAAAACTTTTTCTTCTCTAATAACAAATTATGTCCTTTGCATAGGCATTTCTAACAACAGAGCTTCGACCTTTATCCATTACAACCAGCACCATTCGCACTCCATCTTATTGTTTTCTAAAAGGAAGCAAAGAAATCGCAAGCTGTCTTGGATCGCGCTATTCGAGTACAAAAAATGCATGACTCATATAGCAAGAATCTTTACTGACATATTGAAATCACAATTTCTCTCAAATTGTTTACTTCACTTTGATTCAGAAACGTTAAGATGGAGAGGAAAATAATAGTTTAAATATTCAAATATCGTCCTTCTTTCACTCGAAAAATTATCCTTCTCTTTTTCTTCTTCTCAACTATTTTAACAGGGACTGGAAACATTGCCTTAAACAACCCGAAGTTCTAAAAGATAGCACCGGAATGAATCATCAGATTGATGCGCTCACAAATGTGTGAGAAATGCGAAACACTTCCTACGAAATGAAAGGCAGTGATTTTCCAGCGCTATTATAATCGGATTGCAAGCTTGTGGTAAATAAACCGAAAGGCAATCACTCAGTGCCGGATTATTCAAAAGATTGAATTTCGATAATCATGCTGACAGCTTCGGAAATTGACGTACTCGTTGTTTGAAATCAGACAGCTCTATGATATTTCTTCCAAATAACTATCCCCTTGTTGTGGATTTTTTTTTGTTTTGTTTTGGGAGAGCTTTTCAGCCGAATTGTAATGAAGGATTGATTATTTGATTGAGTCGATCACTGATCCATCTTCTTTACTATTGACCTGGGAGAATAGTTTGGGATTATTCTTTGATATGTTAATGCAGAGTGCTGATGGTGTGAGACTGACTGACTGATTCTTTGGTAGTAATTAAAGCGCTATGCATTCCCTTCGAGTTGGGCAATGTTTGGCGAGCACTGTTTGTAGTAAAGTAAACAATTGGTCATTTGACAGATGAAATTAATAATGAACAAAGATCATTCGATAAAGGTGGTCTAGTTGAGGATATCTGAGATAAACGATTTCTATGGTATAAATTTCAAAAATGCTTCTTTGTATCTTGTATTTTCTTTTTTTAATATTTTTTTCACTTCGCTTATGCAAATAATTTGTATCATAAGGTTATTTCGAGTTTCCGACACCTCTGGCCACCTCGGCTAAAACATCCATGCAACTCCAGAATCGCAACTGTTCAAATTTCCCGAATTCAATCCATCGTCAACCTAATAAATTTCAGACTCACCTTGACTTGTGATTATAAAGCATATATCATATAGCATATATCAATAAATTTCTTCAAAGACAAATGTCTTTCAAGAAATGAATGGTATGTTTTTATTTTCACTTTCCACTTCAAATGAAAAATTATAAAAATATTTGAAATGCTCAAGGATTCCGGAAACTATTAAACATTTATTCGAAATTATATCCATCACCAAATTTCAGAATCAATGGAAGCATTTTTATGAGCTCATCTAGAAATACTCACTTGGATGAGAGGTGTATGTTTTCATTCCCATTTCAAATTGTTCGATAGTGAAAACCTCCCTAATTTAGTCTTCTCTACTGTTCACGTCAACGTGCAACTGACATTTCCAAATCGGAAGTCATTCTGAAACAGAACACCCTTTCTCCGAGCTTAACCATTTAAATCCGCAATTATAACAAATCAGAAAAATATAACTAAATTCTGCACAAGCAATACTTCTATTAGAAGTATATTAAAAGCAGTTCGATCGACGTTTATAAGTGAAAGTTTCGAAGTTTCGAGTTACACATTGAACAACATTTGAATATTACTTATTAAACTTTCGAATGCATCATAATGTGCATGCATTCATGCTTTCCAACAATAGCTTTAAAGGACTTGTCTAGTTAATACTAATCAATTAAACGATTCCTCAGTTCTCTGACCCGGTTTTTGATACCATAACAAAAAAAAAACGAAAGTTCAATAATCGAGAATTTTACAACAATATATCAGGAGATGAAACGAAGATTAAAATTCGAAAGATCACATTTCTCTCAACGGCAGTCAAATACTGGTAATCAGTCTGCCTTTTTAGTACTTCACAATCTTAATCTTCTTTTCCAAGCTAAAACTATAGGATGACATACTAGCAGTTTGGTGTTGTTGAGATCTCATGAATAAAATTTTCGTAAATTCAAATCGTTGAAAACGATCAAATCATACAACCCAATATTTGCCAAAGTAACTAGGCAAGATCGAATTATTAAAAAAATTCCCAAGCGACGTCATCTGAAGTTAAAAGAAATCAGCTTAACATTCTCTCAACATTGTTGCTGTCAATTTCAGGTTTGATCGTAAAAAACAGAGAATTCTTTAAAGAAATGATAACTTCCATATTATTCGGAAGAATCAAAAAAAAACAAAAAGAACTAACGGGGATCATAATAAAATTACATTTATTTAGTATTTAAACCAATT